AGTAATAAGGCAGCCAGACTGGCACCACCTTCTGCCTCTGCTCAGTTTCAGTTCTCTCCAGCGACGAGGAATCGGAATACAATAGACAGTTTGCAAAAGCCCTGGAAGTGTGAATCTGGGCAACAGCCATACATTCTGTGTTGGCAATGATTCCCTGAGATCGAGGATTTAAAGCTGGAACAAAGAGAATGTTTGTGGAATTTTATCAAGGGGAAAGACGTTATTGTCCTTCTTCCTACGTGATTTGGGAAAAGCATAATATACCAGTTAGCCCCGTTTGTGGCGCATTACATACGTCACGACCGAATAGCAGCGATTAAATAAAAAAGCACCCACCTACTGTCGAGCGAACAAATCCTAATGCTGCGAGGTCAGACGGTTGAATCAGGCTAGTAATAAGAGGTGTTTATAAACTAAAAGCAGAATAAGCTTATGGGGAATTAGACATTAATAAGTGTTACCAAAATCTTATGTAACTGTGTTTTTGCAAAAGTTGTAGTCATGTAGTCATTTCAAAGATGCACTATGTAACTTTTCGGCTCAGGGAATGTCACTTGCTTGAAAGGTTTAATGTCATACCGTGAAACATTCGAGACAACGTAATAAAAAAAGAACAGTATTTGACAGACCCTCCACCAGAGAACTTACGGAATGCACTTCAAGGTCACAAGAACAGTAAACGTGAACTGGAGTTTATTTTAAGCTCATCTTTAAACCGCTTTAGCCACATTTACCTCAAGTCTAACTAAGAGATGAATATAATCTCACAGAAAAAAAAGTCACTGATGCTTCTGTTTTCTTTGTTCTCTCTGACAGAATATTTTCACATGTTATGGTTATTTCATGTTGTTTAATATTCACACCTTAAATTATAGTTTTACATCAATCAAGAAACAGAAATGTAAAAAAAAAAAAGTAAAAAATTATAGGATGTAGACAGATCTGAAACGTATTAATGTCATCATACGAGGGAGAAATCCAAAAGTTGGGAACAATGGAATCGTAATATTTATATATATATATTTGTAAATAATACTTTCTGGAGTATTATTGGAGGAGTTTATAGTTTATATTTTTGGTCCAATGAACAGTGTGGTTTCTTGGTAAACAGGATGTATAATTTTAAACATTTTAAAAAAAAATCTTAAACATAACAACCGTAATTTGTAGTCATACAAGGTGCACTATGTAACTTTTTGGCTTTTGCTTGAAAGTTTTAATGCCATACTATGAAACATTCAAAAAGAAAAGTATTTATCTGACAGACCTTCCACCAGAAAAGTTACGCAATGCATCTTTAAGGTCACAGAAACAATATGTGTGAACTGCACTTTAATCTTTAACTCTTATTTATTTAGAAACACTTTTTTTTCTGGTACTTCAAACATTATTTCAGCAAAATAAAGGTGTTTTCTTGTATTTTTTTTATTACTATTTTATTTTATATATCATTTTATTTGACCGAGCTGTTTGTTCTGTTGTGTCTGTTTGTTGTGATGATTTCAGGATTTCCATACACCAAGTACAATTTTAAACCTTAACAAAAAAAAAAAAAAAAAATCTTAAATGTAACAATTTAATTAATTAATTTGGAGTCATAGGCACTTTAAAGGTGCATTGTGTAATTTTTTTTTCACCTGTTTGAAAGGTTTAATGCCATACTGTGAAACATTCACAAACAAAAGTATTTGACAGACTCTCCGCCAGAAAAGTTGAGCAATGCATCTTTAAGGTCACAGAAACAGTATGTGTGAACTGGGACTTTAAACCACTTTAGCCACATTTTCCCCAAGTCAAACTAACTCTTATTCATTTAGAAACACTTTTTTTTTCTGATACTTCAAACATTATTTCAGCAAAATAAAGGTGTTTTTTTGTATTTTTTTATCACTATTTTATTTACTATTTTATTTTATGTTGTTTATTCATGTGCAAACAGCTATAGATATGTCATTCAAACAACACAAGTACACAGACTTAAAAAAAAAATTATATACAGATAAAACATAACTTATAATGTTAACCAACAAAAACAAATCACTCAAGAAATACGAGTAATGTCATACAATATAATAATAATAGAATGATTATTAGTATACTACTAGTATTAAATAAATAAATAAATGAATAAAATAAAATAAATGAATAAAATAAAAATAATAATAATAAAATTAATTAAAATGAAATGAAATGAAATGGGTGATTGGTTTAGACTGTTCAATAAATGGTTGCCGCTTTCTAAAAAAAATAGTTTGTTAACTTTCTTGGAATACCTAATCTTCTCTACTTTCAAAAAGGACATGACTTCATTAAACCATTTATGTTGCATTTATTCATTTTGTGTGTTTCTGTTGCTCAAAAAAAAATACAACTATTCCTTCAGTGACTCTCCGCAGATCTGAACTGTAATGTAGCGTAGTGTCGGTTTAATGTGTACCGTGGAACATTTTAGACAAAGCAATAACATTTCCATGGAGACAAGTGCTAGAAAAGTTACGCAGTGCACTTTTTAAGCTCATTTGACCAGTTTCTGCCTCATCATTTTTATCGCACAGTCATAAATATATAGTTAATGTTTTGATTTTCTCCGTTCACTGTTAGTATCCGTTCACATGTCATGGTCATTTCTTGTTGTTTTGTCTTCATGTCTTCGCACCATCGCACGGCTCAAAGTTAAACCACAAACTAAACTCAGACTTCCCCATCTCTACCTCCTGTTTTGTCTTTTCACAACTCTGAACTAAAAGTGGAAACTGGCCCCTGAGCTGTACGGGAGGTGTGACACGTCAGATCAGTGTCAGACTCTGTTTTGTTCCACTAATACGTCCTTTCTCGTCATTTTTTAATATTAATGATGAGGAAACTGTTTTGAATATTTGTGTTTTCCACTGTGGGCAAATGAAGGAAGAGGAAGCAGAAGAGGAACAGTGTGGCTGATGTGCAGAGTTGTTCATTATGTAATTCTGCTTGAAGAAGGAAAAAGAGATAAGGAGTGATGCGTGGGTCCATAGACATATTAAAGATTTTCATCAAGATTTTCAAAAACAAGTGCTTGAAGAGGAAATAGGGCGGGTTTTTTACACGGGAAAACAGCTGTCTGTTTCAAAGTTTGAGAACTCAATTTTAATAACAGAAAACGGCGCATTAGTTTGGACATGCCCCCTCATTCAGTGTCTTTTTTTCTTTGTCTTTACTATTTTCTACTAGAGATGTAACAATAACCAAAATTACGTGATATCGTATTGTCAAAGTTCTCACAATAATATCATGGACCATTAAATTAAGAGTTATGGTGCAGCAGTAGCTAAAAAAGACAGAGGGAACTACATAGACCATGATCCTTTGCTCCATTTCAGTGTAAACTACAAGAAGAAATAACAGTTCTAAGCCCTTTTAAGTCTTAGTTCTTTGGATTAAGTCTTGTCAAGGCATTTTAAGAGGAAAAAGTAGCAAAATATTATAATAAATATCGTACCGTGAGATGTAAATCGTGAAAATATTGAGAGATTTGGATATTGTTACATCCCTAATTATGAGCCTCACCACCATATCGTGAGCTTTCCCACGATATCGCAATAAATATCGTACCGTGAGGTTCATACCGTGATGATATCGTATCGTGAGACTTGGATATCGTTACACCCCTACTTTCTACATTTTAGACGCATAAGATCAAGTACATGAATTAAGATATATGGAATTATGTAGTTGAGAAAATGTTAAAGGTACGCTTTGTAACCATCACCTCCCGTTTGTTTCTATAGATATGTCATTGTTCTGTTTGTAATATTCCACAGTGTGACATTACACAGCTCTACCTTACATTTATTCAATTACAGGTGTTTTTTTTAGCTCAGAAATACTTATCGAATACTTATCGAAATATCAATATATCGTATTGTTTAATGTGATGATACAGTATTGATATCATGGGCTGCCAAGAGTATTTTTTGGTGTATTTTACTGAATTATTTTGTTACAGCGCTACAGTTTTGTTGCTTGTTTAGAGGAAGGAAACTCGTTTATGAGACACATTTGACATTTTCACTTCACGTTTTGATGATTAAAATGTTTGTGTTTCATATTAACTTCTGCACAAGAAGTGGTGTAACAAAGACTTTTAGTGTCACAGCCATGATTCAGTCTTTATTTTTTTATTGTACCATAATGAATCGATTTGAAATACTGTATATCGTATTGAACTGAAAGTGCGCTGTATCGAGATATGTATCGTATCAGCAACTTCTTAATGATACCCAGCTCTACTCTCCACAGATCTGACCTGTAACTTGGTCTGGTTTGGTCTCCATAAAGATAGAAAGGTTTAATGCCACACTGCGAGACATTCCAGACAAAGCAATAACATTTCCATGGAGACAAGTTACACAATTACGGCTGGGTGTCATTAAGAAGTTGCCGATACGATACATACCTCAATACATAGGCCACGATACGATACATATCTCGATACATACAGTGCACTTTCAATATGATACGATATATTTCAAATCGATTCAGTTCAATTAAAAATAAAGGTCAAGTTGAGTCTCGAGTCACTGGCCCATAAGTCCAAGTCAAGTCCAAGTCGTCTGCTTTGAGCTTAGATTTTTGCAATTTATATGAATTTTTAAAGATAAATTATACATGAAATATCATAGTACATTTATATATGAGTATTTATAAAGTATGAAAGTTGTAGAAATGTTAATTTTTTCTTTTTAAATGTGTTGACAGGATCTTAGTGTGAATCATTTTGGTCAGAATAGAAAGAATTCAGATTTAAAAGTGCTTCTCAAGTCTTCTCAAGTCACAGGCCTCAAGTCCAAGTCGAGTCCCAAGTCTTAATGCATGTTATCAAGTCAAGTTTCAAGTCCTAAAAATATTGACTCAAGTCTGACTCAAGTCCTGGTCGCGTCTTGCAAATCCCCATCTCTTATATTTATGTACTATAAGTAAACACTGACTCTGTTTTTTTTGTTGTTGTTGTTGTTTTCCTGCAGACGAGTGGAGGAGCTCAGGAAATGTATTTCAAATCCTTAGACGATCTTATCCAACATTACAAGAGGAAAAACCAAGGACTGGTCATGCACCTTCGTCATTCGATAAAGAGGAAGACTGCGCTGCTTATACGGGCCACAACCCAGTGCCACATCCAGAACCAAGCCCAGAGACCAGTCCAAATGCCATCTCGAAGTCCGGACCACAGACTAGATCATAGAACAGTCCAGAGTCCACCCCAGAGTCCACCCCAGAGACCAGCCCCAAGACCAGACGAGAGACCAGCCCCGAGATCAGAACAGAGATCAGCCCAGAGTCCATCCCAGAGTCCACCCCAGAGACCAGCCCCAAGACCAGACGAGAGACCAGCCCCGAGATCAGAACAGAGATCAGCCCAGAGTCCATCCCAGAGTCCATCCCAGAGACCAGCCCCGAGGCCAGACGAGAGACCAGCCCCGAGATCAGAACAGAGATCAGCCCAGAGTCCATCCCAGAGACCAGCCCCGAGGCCAGACCCGAGGCCAGACCAGAGACCAGTCCCGAGGCCAGACCCGAGGCTAGACCAGAGACCAGTCCCAGGACCAGACCCGAGACCAGCCCAGGAGATCGGGGACCTCAGATCAGAACTAAACCAGGAGAAGAGGAAGGGTCAGACACAGACAAACTACAGCTACCCTGGACCGGTCCAACAAGTCCAACATGAAGAAGTGGACTACGAGAGTAAGTCCTTAATAAGAAAATACCCAAAAAAGGGCCCATATTTCACTACTTTCTGATCTATTTAACTGATCTTTAAACTCCATGCACCTTCATGAGAATCATTTGGATGATTTCACCCCTGAAATTTCCAGACTCTACTAAATAAAAAAATAAAAGGTACCTGTTAACTCGGAACAGACGATTTTGAGACTTATGTTTGAGAATAATTAAGAGTTACTCAAACATGTGAATGAAACAAAACACAACTCCAGGTCTCTTTTTTTTTTCATTTGCTTTTTTTCATTTGTAGGCGGGTACTTTTTTTTTTAATATATAACCAATCACTGCTATTTGGTTGTGATGTATGTGATGCGCCAAATCACGTAGGAAGAAGGGCAATAACGTCTTTCCCCTTGATAAAATTCACCAAACATTCTCTTTGTTCTGGCTTTAAATTCTTGATCTCGGGAATCGTTGCCAACACAGAATATATGGCTCTTCGCTGATTGGCTGGTGCACTTCCATGATTCTTGCAATCCATCTTGTGTATTCCGATTCCTGACCTAGTTGCTTTTGCAACTTTGGGAAAAGCTTAAGATACCAGTTAGCTCTGTTAGCGGCGCATTACATACGTCACGACCAAATAGCAGCGATTGGTTAAATAAAAAAATTTCCCGCCTACCGTTGAGCGACCAAATCCTAATGCTGTGAGGTCAGACGGTTTCCACAAATTGAAACCAGCTGTATCAGGCTGCTTACAGACTTGATATTTTGCACTTTTGCAGCTAAGGCCCTAAATTAAGCGTTTTTTATGTCCAAAAAGTTGTTTAGACATGTTTGCTGTGTGTTTTGTATGAAAGAGTGTGAATTTTATTTTCCGTATTTCTGGTCCTATAGCTTTCATTACAGCCGTATGACACAACTACAGCAGCAGATTGTGAAATAACAGGTTATACTGAAAAAAATGATTATCATTAGGGGATAAAAGGGGGAGTTTTAACAGCAAAATTAAGAAAAAAATCCAGGCAAAGACAAATGTACTAAAATTGCCCTTAGGTCTTTAAAGTTTTAAGTGTGAGAGTAAAGTTCAGATTAAAGTCTAACAAAGCCTCGGACAGAGCAGTGCCTTTAGTTAGCTTCATATCCTCAGGGAATGTTGATGTTATAAGCTGCAAAAGATCAATTATTATCTATTATTTATGTATTTATTTTTCATTTTTTGTCCAGATGTTCCTGACTATGTGGAGGTGGAGCCGTCGTGAACAGCCTTTGGACTTTGGGCCGTATCTTTGGAGACTTGTTTCCATGAAGGACGAACTGAAGATTATGGATAGTTCTACAGTTTTTCATAGAGTTTTCTCACTGGACAAAGAAAAAACATTTGTTATAGCTCCATTTTCAAATAATACGAGCTATAAAATGTGACTAAGTGAGGACAAACCCGAGATCTAAACCAAGTCTGCAGCGTGAAAGCAAATGGAAGAATTCACATTAACTTTGTAAATACTGCCTCGTTGTCTACTTTTTCAAAGTGGTTCTAGTTAAAGGTGTATTGCGTCACTTTTTTCTGGCGACGTGTCCACCACCTGCTTGTCTCCACGGAGATGTTAGTTGCTTTTTCTGGAATGTTCCACAGTATGGCATTACGTGTTACTCTTTATGTGGTGTAACGTGACCCCACCATTTACAGGTCAGAGAGGCATGTTTTTTGTTTGTTTGTTTGTTTTTTTTCAATTAAAACACCTGTAATTGAATAATGCAAGATGTGTTTAATGCCATACTGTGGAACATTCCAGGCAAAGCAACAACACTGATTTTAAAAGACTGTGAAAAAGAAAATGTTTAGTGCTGAATTAAGAAAACATGTTTTAACTATACAGAAGTGACAACATTAAAGGTGCATTGCGTAGGTTTTCTGGCAGAGTTGTCCATCAAATGCTTTTTTCTCCGTGGCGACCTCATTGCTGTTGTCTAGAATGTTCCACACTGTGGCATTAAACAGCTCTACATTACATTTATTAGATTACAGGAGGTTTTACAGCTCAAAAATACCTAGAAAAACAGAAAATCTGACTCTGAGCGGAGTCGCCTCTCCACAGATCTGACCTGTAACTTGGTCTGGTTTGGTTTCCTTGAAGATAGAAATGTTTAATGCCATACTGTGAAACATTCAAGACAAAGCAATAACATCCAACTCCATGGAGAAAAGCATTTGACAGACTCTCCACCAGAACAGTTACACAATGCATTCTAATGGACGGTCCAAACGCTTGTCTTCATGCAGATGTTATTTTATTTATTAGTTTGTGTTGAATGTTTCACAGTGTGGCATTAAACCTTTCTATCTTCATGGAGACCAAACTGGACCAAGTTGCAGGTCAGATCTGTGGAGAGGCGACCCCGCTCACAGTCAGAATAGCTGTTTTTCTAGGGGTTTTTGAGCTTTAAAACCACCTGTAATTGAATAAATGTAAAGTAGAGCTGTTTAAAGTCACACTGCGAAACATTCCAGGCAGAGCAGTAACCATAGAAACGAGCAGGTGACATAGTGCACCTAAATGAAACCCTCCATGAAAGTACTTCAAGTATTTTCAGAATACAGTACTCTGATTGGACCATGTATGGGAGTACGTTACAAAATACATTTTAATTTTATTTCGTATTCTGTAAATAATACATTTCCAAAGTATTTTAAGAGCTAAATTAAATGTGATTAATGAGTAAAGTGGGAAGGGAATAGAGTTATTTAAACTTAATGTAATTTGTATAAGTACTTGTATATAGATTGCATTGTTTTATTGTGTATTTTGTGTTTTATGTCTCAAGAACTGCGGGTGGAAGTTAGCTCTGAGAGTTATAATCTGGTACAAAGCATCCCTCTGATGTTTCTCTTTGTACATGGTCCCTGTAAAATAAAATAAATAAAAAGAATAATCAAAAACATAAAAACAAATGTGGAGAAAAAAAACCCCTCTTACCAGAAAACTCATTGTGTTACTATAACTTTAACAGCATAATCAAAACAGAAAATGAATTCAAAAGACCCTCACTTGGTTTTAACACATTTGTGAGAAAAACCTGAGGTGTCAAAAGTGAAGTCAACAAAAGCTTAAAGATCTCATTTGTTTTTAACTATTTCAGAGTCGATGGGAAAAATAAGTAAGTAGCATGTGGTGCTGTGGTGAGCAACAAATTTGATGCATGTTTTTTCTTGGTATTACCAGTCATGTGGTAATATTTTTGTACATATTTTTTCAGGGCACGAGCTTTGAGCGTCTGAAAGCGACTGCTGCTCAGAGTTAACCACATTCACACCATTGGGTCTTATCTGTCCACATGCAACTGCATCTACTCTTACAAAACAGAACAGTGTAGTCATGTGTCTACAGTACAATGTTCTAGCTTCAGTAAAAATGAAACAAAACACCACGATAACTGTTTTTGTATATCTTGAAATCTTCCGTGTGTTTATTGTACATTTTGACAGAAGACACATTGAAAGTGAGTTGGTTTACAGTTTTACAGTTTCATTTGCTCATTTTGTAAACACAATTATAACACTAAAAATAACAAAATTGGAGTGCTGCACTGGATCAAAGAAAATTACGCATAACAGGTGCTCATCATACCGGAGGGCTAGATTCACGTAAAATAGAAAAAAGAAGATGGCAGAGGCACTCTGATTTGCGGTGAATTTATTCAAAGTCACTCCAACGCGTTTCGACTACTTGGTCTTCCAATTAGCCCTGATGAAGACCAAGTAGTCGAAACGCGTTGGCCTGACTTTGAATAAATTCACCGCAAATCAGAGTGCCTCTGCCATCTTCTTTTTTCTATTTTACAATTATAACACTGTAGGGGTGTAACGATATCCAAATCCTCACGGTACGATATTTATTGCGATATTGTGGGAAAGCTCACGATACGGTAGGAAGGCTCATGATTAGGGATGTAACAATATCAAAATCTCTCCAAATACATCCAAATATTTTCACAATATACATCTCACGGTACGATATTTATTGCGATATTTTGAGGAAGCTGCAACCAAAACTGTGAATATGCAACTTTTTCCTTGACAAGACTTAATCCAAAGAACTTAAAAGTGCTTAGAACTGTTATTTCTTCTTGTAGTCTGCACTGAAATGGAGCAAAGGATCATGGTCGATGTAGTTCCCTCTGTCTTTTTTAGCTACTGCTGCAACATAACTCTTAATTTAACTTGGTCTCATATTTACTTTGTTCTGTGGTGTTTGTTTATGTGCTGCTTTGTGTTGTGTTGTCCTGTTTTTTAATAAAGCATGTTACCCCGTCCCAAGACAAATTCCTCCCATGGGAGACAATAAAGGATTATCTTATCTTATCTTATAATTTAAGCAAAAAAGACTTGTAATTCAATATATTGTGATGATCCACAATATTATTATGAGAACTTTGATGATACTATATCACAATATTTCGGTTATTGTTACATCTCTAGTAAAAAATAGTAAACACAAAGAAAAAAAAAAAACATTGAATGAGGGGGCATGTTCAAACTATTGTGAGAACTATGACAACACAATATGTAGCGTACCCCTCTGAATGAAAACTGACACTTGAACTGGCGATTTTTTGATTTAATGGCAATAAATCCTTCAATTTGCCTTAAGAGCTAAAAGGAATACAAAATACAGGGTGTAAATACGCATACACAAAACTCAACGCAAATTTGATTATTATTTACGTTCATCTTGACAACATCAATCAACAACAATAACAGATAGAGAGACACAAAGTTATCCAAAGGAAATATTTAAATCAATAACATACCTTTGTGCTTCTTCAGAGGGGACGCTAAACAAAGACATAGAAAATATCTAAAAATATATATGTACACATTTGCTCCCTATAACGTTTTTCCGTTCTCATTGTCAAGTTAATTAAATAAAAATAAACCCTTCAAAATAAAAGCGCTAAACATAAATGCGTAAGTTAATGGTTAACAACAGAAAATAGTGCGATGTAAAAAAAATATAATAAAAAATGTCACAAGAGGTTTTAAAATTACTATCCACCCGCCCGCCGGCGGGCGATTTTCCAATAAAAAATGTTATTATATTATTATTATTATTTTGGCACAAATTTGGCAATCTTGTGCCGAATTGTCATTTTGTATACACAAAGGCTCACAGCATCAAAACCCTTTGTCCTAGAGAGAAATTCTACACAGTTGTTGCCAACAACTTGAACAATGAGTGTAGTGAGTCACAAATGCCTAGCATGAAGTATGCCCAAGCTAAGGCCTTTATTTTTTTCTATTTTTTTTTTTGAAGCAAAAAACATACAATTTTTAATTGACTGTACTGTAGGTTAGGCAGCACTCACAGTCTTCATGTACATATCTACAGAAACTAGAAGGCCTAAGCTTTAAAATGGTGCCACACACAAGCATGTGGGTTCTAAGGTTTTCTTTTAATAAGCATTTGGGTATGTAGTGCTACTGTGCACACGCCAAAATTAGGTGGATGGTAACAGGTTTACCAAGACAAATTATACTATAGGTTATTTATACAATATCACGACATTTTGTTTATTGTTACATCTCTATAACACTGCATTAACAACTTTAGGCTACACGTTACATTACTACATTTCTTTTCTTTTAGGATTATTATAGTGCAGATAGCAGTAAGTTAAAAAGTGAATACTTATAAACTCAAGAATAAATGCATGAGGTATTTTGATACAGGAAAAGAAAAGTTGAGACATCATCTATATGACTGTGTTAACGATGCATTAGTCTTATTGTCTTTGTGGTTTTCGTATAATTCTATCGTCTCAAATGGTGTTTAAATTTGGAAAAGTCACACCCAGACATACCAAATAGGCTTATATACTATGTGGTTGAAAAAAAAAAAAAACCCCAAAAGCAAACGTACTCTACATTTTACTTTCACCTGGTCTTTTTCTTCTTATAATCTGAAACCTACTGCAATGGCTGAGGTGTTTTAAGCATGATCATAGTCTGAGCCAGAGGTGGGACCAAGTCGTTGTTTTGCAAGTCTCAAGTAAGTCTCAAGTCTTTGACCTCAAGTCCGAGTCAAGTCCCAAGTCAAATACAGAAAAGTCCAAGTTGAGTCTCGAGTCACTGGCCCATAAATCCAAATTAAGTCCAAGTTGTCTGCTTTGAGCTTCAAGTCATTTCAAGTCTTTAAACCAAAAAAGTGCCAAATATAGCTTAGATTTTTGCAATTCATATGACTTTTAAGTTAAATTGTACTTAAAAAGCCATAGTATATTTATATTTGAGTATTTATAGAGTATGTAAGAGTTGTAGAAAAGCTAATTTTTCCTTTTTAAATGTCTTGACAAGATCTTAGTGTGAATCATTACGGTCAGAATGGAAAGAATTCAGATTTAAAAGTGCTTCTCAAGTCACAGGCCTCAAGTCCGAGTCAAGTTCCAAGTCACTGACCTTCAAGTACAAGTCGAGCCCCAAGTCTTAGTCCATTTTATCAAGTTTCGTCTCAGGTCCCAAAAATGGTGACTCAAGTCTGACTCGCACAACTTGCAAGTCTCCACCTCTGGTTTAAGCAAACAAAAATTCAACTGCCTTTTTCAACAAAAAAAAATTAAAATAAAGAAAATCAACAAAATTCATCATCACAATCAGTACATTTGAAGTTTTAATATGCTGATAAAGGAAAAGAAAAGTTTAGACCATGGACAATTACACCTAGACTTTGTACAATGCCTCTATAAGATTTTCCAACTTTATTTTTGGTTGCCTTGTAATTTTTTCCCTCTAATTATATGTTTTAAAAGAGTAAAAGTTATATCCAATTAAGCGTATAATTCTTATTAATTCTTCTCATAATACTTGAATACAAATTGCAGTGTTTACTATTAATACAATACACTATAGTGACACAGTATAGTCTAAAATGTACTGGACTGCACTGAAAAAACAGTCCGAGAGGGGTTGCTGAAATTGCAAAAACAAATTTGACAACAATAACATGACTTTTTTATGATTCTCTGTAAAGCATGTTTAAATCTTACAAAGGTCGCTTGATTGTGGCCGATGTTAGACCTGCATGTTTTAATTAGGTTGAGGAAACATGACTTTATTATAATTTCTGGTGAGGCTCCTCCCTCTGGAATTCTCCTCCCCAAAACTTTTGGAGGCAAAATTCAAATGCAGCAGGACACAGGACAGTTACAGGAGCAGAGGACACACAGTGTGGAGCAGGAGGATTATGAGAGCTGATCTGGAGATTTTATTATGTGCTTCTCCGGCCTAGAATGTCGTCATTGTTAAAACATGTTTGTGGTGTTTTATTTGAAATTAGAGTTAATGTAAGGACTCCTTGAAACAAATTGTCTTTGACTGTCCATCTACAAGAGTGTGACAGTTGTATTCAGATTTGAATGTGTTGCTTCCAGAGTCGTCTACAAACAAAGAGTGACGTCCAGAGCTCTGCTGGAGCTGTGGGGAAGATCATGAATGTTATAGTTGATGTTTCAGAAAAAAGGAAGATGTTTGAGAACCAACAAAACACAGAGCACAGAGGAACAAAGTGAGTAAACCAACTAAAATTATTTTAAAATTTTTCAAAATGAACTTCCTATTGAAACAGTTATCGTGCTTCTACAGGGTGATGTGGCATTAGGAGGATTTTATATCAGATGCCCTCCCTGTTACTGTGTTTAGAGGAAGAAAAGCAGCACATGGTGAGTTTTGTTTCTGCAGATACACTTCTAATGTTCTTGTGATTCTGTTCCGGTCCATTATAGGTACTTTAAATGTATTTAAACATGTACAACAGAGTAGATCATCAGAATGTGATCATCATGTGTTATTCGTGTGTCCACAGGCAGAGACCAGAGCGTCTTCACTGGAATAAATCTTCACACTGTCCAGCTCCAAACTGTGTGTCTCTGTACTTGTGCTCTTTGTGTGTTTGATTCTATTAAAGACAATACAGATCTGTAGAAAACTAAAGACTGTTTTTGTATTCTTTTACAGAATTAGATCAGTTAAATTAAATTATACATACTTATGCATTTCATGATAAGGTACCATAAGATAGATATGCATATTCAGCATGATTTGTTCAAATTTCATCAACATGAAAAAGTGATGTTCATGTTCTGAGAAAAATATGTGTAGAGGGGTTCGAAAAAAGTTTCAAAGCCTAAACATAATTTTATTGCATGCAACCGCTTTCCATAACTTTTTTTATGCAAATCCAGCAACCTTTTTTTTTCAGTGTGTATACTGGCATAAGAAAATTAAACTTTAGGCAGTAAGTGACATTTATACTCCACAAATTGACTTTCATGAAATGATTAAAATTGAAATAATTTCTGCCACCACCAGGGTGACCAGATGTCCATATTCACCCGGGACAGTCCCAGTTTGAGCCCTGTGTTCTCTGTCCCAGCAGATTTATACAAAACCAGTGATTTGTCTCAATTTTTTACAAGAAATGTCCCAGGTGTCCCTATTTTTGAACAATTTGATCTAAACCAGGACTAAACTAAGACTAAACCAGGACTACATCAACTCTAAACCAGGATTAAGACAGGACAATCACAATTTTTGATTAATCAGATCCTCACCAACAGTAAAGAGGAGCATAAATTGTCATTTATTTAGCCAAAATACAGAAATCCATGTTTACAAATGACCATAAAGAAAAAACAAAACAAAAAAACAACGCAGCGACAGAAGCCCCTCAGATTATGACTGGCACAAAAATGTATAATCTTACATGCTCTTTTCATAGTTTTATTTATACCAACCACCCCAACCCAGGTGTGCCCCAGTTTAGAATTTTAAAACCATAACCCATAAATGAAAATGAAAAATCCTTACACTTTTTCATTCTCACTGTGGTTTATTTTGTACTATCATAAACGATAAACTTTTGTGTCTTCTTTATCATTATTATTAGTTTGTATGACCATAGTATGAAATGTATTTTGCTATTATGTAAATATTTGTAGTTACATAAGAAACCACATGATTTTTGAAACAGGTGTGGGTTAACATAAGTTTTTTCTTCTTCCTTTTCCTTTTTGAGAAATGTGCTTTTCTGTTGTTTACAATGTATGTGTAGTATGTGTATAATTATTAAACTAAGACTAAACCAGGACCACATCAACTCTAAACCAGGACTAAAACAGGGACAATCACATTTTTGACTGTCACCATGTTTAACCAAATAACATTTTGTTTATATTGAGGGGTTGTTGATTTAATTCTTTAACTCTTGACTTCAATCTTCAAATGAACTGTTTGAAATGAACTGTATGTATAGTGAGTGTGCAGGTGTTGTGTACTTTTGTGTGATTTTGGCTGTACTTTTCCCTGTCCTGTAGATCAACCTCAAGTGGGTTGCAAAAAATTTTTTTGGGTCACCTTGCCACAATCTGCATGCAGGTCTGCGATGGGGGCTACATTTAATGGCCAAATAGGAGACTTATGGATCCTTTTATTGCTGCTTCAATGATTGTTTTTCATTCTTTAAAACAGACATGTCAAACTCAGGCCTGTAATATAACTATATTTGGCCCGCGAGATCTTATCAAATCTGTATTAGAGCTGCTCGCCGGATACAGATAGGCTATAGAGACGTTATTTATTAAAAATGTTGTTATTTGTTATTATTTTATATTATACTTGTTCTGGATTCAATGTTTAAGCAAAACTATTATTAAACATTTATTTTAATAAGAAAAGGTTTTATATTACATATCTTGAAAGAAGAGAAAACATGAGGATGTTGTTGAAATTTATCAATAAATATTTAGTTTTAAATTTTGGCCCCCTGTGAATTTGAGTTTGAAACCCCTGGTTTAAAACTTGAGTAATACTAATTGTTCAGAAAGACACGATCACTCAGTCAACAATATTATATTCTCATTAATGTTTATCTTTATTTTGCGATTTTATAAATAATTTCTATTGACTCGGGCGGCGAAGTTTTGTTACTTTTAAAATATGGGTCCCCAGAAAAAAAGGAAACAGATGATTTGACATCAGCCTGCTGAGGGACTGAAGATGGAAATTAGTCATGTTGGATATAATCTTTACATATTTAAATTTTAAATGTTCATTAATATGTGCTGTCCCTTTACAAATAAGAAAACAGAAAAGAAAAAAAAAAAACCTTCATTCTCATTTTGCTTATTTTGATACGATTATAAGCGATAAACTTTTGTGCCTTCTTTATCATTATTATTCGTTAGATTAACCCCCTGTTCAAGTTTTCAAATAGTTTTCAAAAACTTTCAAAAATGATGTGGTTTCTTATGAACATTGATCAGAGAACTTGAAATATTTACATAATCAAAATATTATTGATAGAGAAATGATTTCTATATGAGATCACTGCTGCCGTAAATTATGTCCACCCTACTGTCATATTGTTTAGACCTGGTTTTAGTCCTAGTTTAGTCCTGGTTTAGTCCTGGTTTTAGTCCTAGTTTAGTCCTGGTTTAGTCCTGGTTTTGGTCCTGGTTTTAGTCCTAGTTTAGTCCTGGTTTAGTCCTGGTTTTGGTCCTGGTTTTAGTCCTAGTTTAGTCCTGGTTTTGGTCCTGGTTTTAGTCCTAGTTTAGTCCTGGTTTACACCTGGTTTAGTCCTAGTTTAGTCCTGGTTTTAGTCCTAGTTTAGTCCTGCTTTAGTCCTGGTTTAGACCTGGTTTAGTCCTAGTTTTAGTCCTAGTTTAGTCCTATTTAGACCTGGTTTAGTCCTGGTTTTAGTCCTAGTTTAGTCCTGAATTAGGTCTGGTTTAGACCTGGTTTTAGTCCTAGTTTAGTCCTGGTTTTAGTTCTGGTTTAGTCCTGGTTTTAGTCTTAGTGTAGTCCTGATTTTAGTCCTAGTTTAGTCCTGGTTTTGGTCCTAGTTTAGTCCTGGTTTAGTCCTGGTTTAGTCCTAATTTAGTCCTGGTTTAGTCCTAGTTTATTCCTGGTTTAGACCTGGTTTTAGTCCTGCTTTTAGACCTAGTTTAGTCCTGAATTAGGTCTGGTTTAGACCTGGTTTTAGTCCTAGTTTAGTCCTGGTTTTAGTTCTGGTTTAGTCCTGGTTTTAGTCTTAGTGTAGTCCTAGTTTTAGTCCTAGTTTAGTCCTGGTTTTAGTCCTAGTTTAGTCCTGCTTTAGACCTGGTTTAGTCCTGGTTTAGTCCTGGCTTAGTCCTGGTATTGGTCCTGGTTTTAGTCCTAGTTAGTCCTGGTTTAGACCTGGTTTAGTCCTAGTTTTAGTGCTAGTTTAGTCCTATTTAGACCTGGTTTAATCCTGGTTTTAGTCCTAGTTTAGTCCTGGTTTAGTCCTGCTTTTAGACCTAGTTTAGTCCTGAATTAGGTCTGGTTTAGACCTGGTTTTAGTCCTAGTTTAGTCCTGGTTTTAGTTCTGGTTTAGTCCTGGTTTTAGTCTTAGTGTAGTCCTGGTTTTAATCCTAGTTTAGTCCTGGTTTAGTCCTGGTTTTGGTCCTAGTTTAGTCCTGGTTTAGTCCTGGTTTAGTCCTAATTTAGTCCTGGTTTAGTCCTAGTTTAGTCCTAGTTTAGACCTGGTTTTAGTCCTGCTTTTAGTCCTAGTTTAGTCCTGGTTTAGTCCTGCTTTAGACCTGGTTTAGTCCTGATTTAGTCCTGGTTTTAGTCCTGGTTTAGCCCAAAATGTGAAAACAGGAAAATACCACCGTGTAATCCATTTATTTCAACAAAGTAACTATAATTCAATTACCACTCATTAAAACAGTAACTGTAATCGAATACATTTGCTCATAATTTGTACTCTGATTACATAACTCCGGTACATGTAATCCGTTACTCCCCAACACTGATAGTTAATAGTTAATAGTCTATGGAGAAAACCTGCTTTCTAGTGTAACAGCGCCCCCCTCTGGTCAGTGCGCAGAAAACCATGCGGTACTAAGCAGCCTCAGAGGAACCGATGAAGCAACGTTATCCCGGTAAACACAATGGATTCACTGGACCATCAATCTCCCTAAAAACTGGACTTTATGTGAACAAACTTGACCCAAACACCGCGGTAAGTCGGAACCACTGTCACCGCGCATCCTTCAATACTGATTAGCCTAACACATGTAGCACGCTAGTTAGCCACAACAGATGCTACATGGATTTTCACTCAAATACTTAAATTATTACTTATTATTAATCGTTGTGACAAATTTGGGATAATTAACAGCATGTGCACTGTACGATTAAACGGTTGTCTAACTTTTTATTGCAAAGATACGCCTAAAATAGTGACAATTAAAGAGGATGAGTAGGAGTGTTGATGTTAGCTCGGCGGCTAAGTTGCACTTTTAACAACAACAAGCATGAATTTCTGATTATGTTCGCGGTGTTAAATATGCAAAGCACAAGCGTAAATCTGCCCACTCGTATGCTGTTTTCGATGCTATTCTGGGTCTGTTTCGGGTTTTGTGGTTTGTAAATGAGCTAAAAATAAACACATGTCGTAGAATGGAAAAAAGTGTGGGTTACTACTACGCAAACATCTCGTGCAACTTCCTCCTATCTAGTTGTTGTTACTAGTCACGTATTTGTGTCATTGCCATAGGTTTATTTGCTCCTATATTTATAACACGGCTATTCTAGACTTTTCACTGCTTTACCACTTATTTCAAGGTGTAAAAATAGCTCTAACTAATCTTTTTTTGTTGCCAGGTTTGACCACGTAAGCGCTTTTTTTAACAGAGACAACTGGACTCAGAGGGTGACCTGACGGCCTTGTTTACCCAGGACAGTCCCAGTTTTGAGCCCGGTGTCCCGTGTCCCAGTAGATTTGTCCAAAAACAGTAATTTGTCCCAGTTTTATACAAGAAATGACCCAGGTGTCCCTATTTTTGACCAATTTGATCTGAACCAGGACTAAACTAAGAGTAAATCAGGACTATCACAATTTTTGACTAATCTGATCCTTGCCAACAGTAAAAGGGAGCCGAAATTGTCATTTGTTTAACCAAAATACAGAAAACCATGTTTGCAAATGGCCATTCAGCAAGGAAAAAAAAAAGCAGCGTCACAAGTTCCTCAGATTATGACACGAGAACAGGGCTGTGTGCAAAGATATCGAAATATCGTATCATTTGATGTGATGATACAGTATTGATATTGTGGGCTGTTGTAATGATATAACACCAAGATAATTTTTTCATGTATTTTATTTAATTATTTTGTTACAGCGCTACAGTTTTTTTGCTTGTTTAGTGAAAGGAAACTCATTTATGTGACACATTTGATATTTTCACTGTTTTGATGATTAAAATGGACGCGCTTCATGTTCACTTTGCACAAGAAGTGGTTTAACAAAGACTTTTAGTATCACAGCCATGATTTAACCTTTATTTTATATTGAACCGTATTGAATTGATTTGAAATATGTCGTATCGAACCAAAAGTGCTCTGTATTGAGATATGTATCGTATCGTGGCCTATGTATCAAGGTATATATCGTATCGGCAACTTCTTAATGATACCCAGCCCTACACGAGAATGCACAATCTTACATGCTTTTTTCACAATTTTATTTATACCAACCACTCCAACCCGAGTGTGTCTCATTTTAGAATTTTGAAAATCTGGTCCTAGGTGTCTCTATTTTAGACAAATTTGATATTTACCAACTAAAAAGAAGCATAACTTGTCATTTGTTTAGTACAGAAAAGCTGCTTAATACAGAAAAGCTGCTTAAAAATCACCAAAATACAAAGGAAATGTGACTATACTGACACATGTTAGTCGTGAATGGGCCGATGCAGAACAGTACAGAACAATTTTCTTTAATTATGCACTCGTTTCATTTCACAATTTTATTATTACCAACCACCACAAATGGAGAGTGTCCCAGTTTTTGATTTAGAAATTCTGGTCACGCATATCTACTTGTTGTTACTAATTATGTCATTGCCATAGCTTTATTTGTTCCTATATTTGTAACACAGCTATTCTAGACTTTTCACTGCTTTACTTCTTATTTCAAGGTGTAAAGTGGCTCAGCTGGACTCGCAGGGTGACCAGATGTCCCTGTTTACCCGGGACAGTCCCAGTTTTGAGCCCTGTGTCCCCTGTCACAGCAGATTTATCCAAAACCAGTGGTTTGTCCCAGTTTTACACAAGAAATGTCCCACATGTCCCGAGTTTTGACAAATTTGATCCCTGCCAACTCTAAAGAGAGGCATAAACTCAGTCATTTGTTTAGGTAAAATACAGAAAAGCTGCTTAAAAATGGCCAGAACATAGGGTGACCGGATTTTCAAAATTCAAAACACACCCGAGTTGGGATGGTTGGTATAAATAAAATTGTGAAAGGAGAGCGTAACTGGAACTAAATGCCCATTCATAACTTACTTTTATAATCTGAGGGACTGCTGACGGTGCATTTTTTATTTCTTATGGTCATTTTAAAGCAAAATTTTCAGTATTTTAGCTAAACAAATGACAATTTATGCCTGTCTTTACTGTCAACAGGGATCAGATTGGTCAAAAATAGGGACACCTGGAGCATTTCTTGTATAAAACTAGAACAAATCTATAGTTTTGGATAAATCTGCTCAAAACTGTCCCACAAACACAAACAAAAACGTCTGGTCACCCTACCAAAACACAAAGAAAACGTGACTATACTGACTCACATGTTAGTCGTGAATAAATCATGAATGTGTCGACAGCATAACAATTTTCCTTAATCATGCGCCTGTTTCACAATTTTATTATTACCAACAACTCCAGACTGCGAGTGTCCCAGTTTTTGCTTTTGAAAATCTGGTCACCCTATACACGAGTTGCCGTTTTGTCAGTGCCCTTAACAGTTTATTCACAAGAGCCACTTTAATCAGTACACTTCTGTTATGAATTCAATGTGTCAACAGTAGAAAAGCGTATGCCGGTGTTCCCAATTGATTTGTGCTGGGAAATGTAATTGATATGGTGAATTATGTTGTATAATGTAAGTGCCAATCATGCGGGGTAGAGACCAGGATGCAAGGACTAAGTTAAACAAGCCGTAGTTCTCTGTCAGTAAACAAACCAGAGCGTAATAAAAGTGCAGCAGAAAGAGATGTGTGTTCTGACTAAGCAGCCTTGTGGTATTCTTTGGATTATAAGGATTTATGGTTTGAGTTAGCTGATGTTTTGGGAGTTATTTTACCTTTTTACATGTAAGTACACAGTTTCATGGTACTTTTTCTGCATGTGTGGTTGTTTTTGCATGAAGTCCTGTGCAGGTTTAGTCTTGTGAGTGCAGTTTGGGTCAGACACGCGGTCATATCACAATAGTTTTGATTATTTGGACCCTGATCTAAAATTTGTTCAGCAAATTAGTGATGTTATGAAGTCTATTTTTTTCCAGCTAAGACAACTGACCAAAATTAACACCATTTTGTCTGCAGAACATTTCGAAACGGTCATACATGCATTTGTGATGACCAGATTGGATTATTGTAATGCACTTTATGTTGGTGTCAGCCAAAATGTACTTTCCTCTTTGCACTGGGTTCAAAACTCAGTGACTCGACCCAGAAACAGAAGAGCATCTCACCTATTTTAGCCAGTGTGTTTTAGAGTCAAGTTCACAATTCTTTTATTTACCTTTAAGTTTTTGCACGGCCTAACGCTCTCCTACCTCGCTGACCTGATCCACCCTTATGCCCCCTCTCCTCTCCCGCTCTCAGGTCAGCAGACCAGCTCCAGCTCGCTGTCCCAAAGACTAAACTTGAGCTTAGTGGGGGCCATGCGTTTTCTGTTGCTGCCCCAGATTAGACAGGTGGAGTTTGTACTTGTTTTTAAATCACTCCTTTTTTCACTGGCTTTTAAAAAGTGACATGTACATTTCTTGTTGAGTATTTTATTGTTTTTTAACCTCAGCCGTTTTGGTAGGAAAAAGCCTCCATATCAACAAGTCAGCATCAACATTGTCAACAGTTATCTGCGAGTTTTAACTTTTCAAAGTAGCGTTTTTGATCCTCAACATAGAGTAAGATGATGAAGTCATGTCAAAACAATTAAATGCAAAACCCACTTCAAAATAATGCGAGTTATCTCATGACAGACATACCCAAAGCAATTGCAAACACAAACGAGCGACCCCACTGACTTTATGCGTACCAGCCGCTGCGCATGTGCGGAAAAGCCGGATGTAAACAAAAACATTTTCTCGTATGATATATATAGATTTTTTGCCACGCACATTTTATTTGACATCTCTTGTTCACTGACATCTAGTTGACGGAGATTTTCCCTTAGTTAGCCCTTAGTTAATGTTTAAAATTAGTTAAAATATACTAAATTATTCACCTTACTTTGACAAATAAGCATCTCCTCTCTACAAACCTGACTAATGACTGTTATGTACTGCACCTTTAACTGTTAAAATGGACAGATAAAAAAAAAAAAACATAAAACAGCTGACATATTTAATATACCCTACTTTTTTTACCTGAAGTCTTTTCATTTTTATAATCTCCTGATATGCTTTGATTTGAATGGACATGTAGTACATAGCTTTATTAAAAATCTGGATTGCATTAGACCTGCCATAAAATATTTTATGACATTAGTTTAATTTTGGGGCCCTGTCCATTTTATTTCCCCCAAAAGACCTTGAGCGAAATATAAAACTATAACTAAATAATAATAATATATCAATTATTTCCATGTATTTCACAGTAAGACGTATGTAAAATGGGCTCCAGCTGTTCTTAATCCCTTTAGCAATATTGAATTACAGCAAAGGTAACCCATTATTATTACGTATTCACAATAATGAATGTAAAATATTGTAAACAGTTTAATTCGGAGCCTGGACCGAATCAGACGAAGTTGGTTATCCTAACAGGAAAGTTTAATTGAATTGAAACGACCCCCCCTTTATCACCAGTGTCATTTACTGCATATTACTTGGTATGGTTTGTTTTGGTTTGGATATTTATTTGCACAGAGGCAGTGCACAACAATACATTAACCAAGACAGACTCATAAGAAAGATGCTGGTGCAGGTTACAGTACAGATTCTGTGTCAAAGGTTTTAGAACACCACACTTTTAAAAAATTTTTACTGTTTACTGTTGACCATAATGTACTCTAAACTTTTGATTCATGAAAGTGTCCACCATTGGCAGATATAACAGCTGAACGCACTCGTGGCTCGTTGTTTTTACAATAAAAATCAAATATTTTTCAGAAAGTTCTTCCCAAGTCTGTTGCAGAAGTTCCCATAAATGTGTGACACTTGTAGGTTTCTTGGCTTTCACTCTTCTGTCCAGTTCATCCCAAACCAGCTCAATGGGGTTTAAGTCTGGAGACTGTGCTGGACACTCCATGTTTTCAAGCTTTACCATCTTGTTATTTTTTTGATTTGCACAACTTCAACTGACCAAATGTCGGGCCATTTTTATGTCATTATACCGATCTTCCCGAAGCGGCATACATTTTTTCAGTATGTAATATCAATATAAGCCTCATTTTCTTGCAGACGTTTACTATCCAATCGTATTTTAATTCATTTTTTCTTGTTCCGTGTCCTGTAATATTATTTCCTTATCTGCTTGCCATGAACATAATTTGTAAGCAGCACACAAGAAACTAAGAAAGCTACAGAGTTTGTTCAAAAATCATTCAGAATCACTTTTGGGAAGGTCTTACATATTTCAGTGAAATACATAGTTAAGATAAAATCGTGAAATGATTGCAGCACTCACTCCTACTCACCAGAGGCGATTGAGTGATTAATGAAATTGACAGACTATACATAAAGTGTGTGCTTCACTTGTGGACTATTCCTGATGAGTAATTTGACACACTGTATTTACTCTATTTGTGTGTTTGAGCTCACATCTTTTTTTGTTTTGTTTGTATGAACAGATGTGTTGAGATATATTGTAACTTGCGTGTGTACGATATGTATACAATAAACAAAAAAAATGTTTTAAATGTATATAGATTAACTTGGTTTCATAAAGGGTACAATTCAGGGGGACTTTCCAGCCAGTACAACTTTCCAACTGGTTCCCAATGACTCAATACGGAGATTGTGTGTGTGATATGGCTAAAATTACATTATAATAATTTTCTGAACACTCCTTTCAAGTGGAGTATGTTTAATTCATATGAATATGATATTAAATTTGTCTATCTCCATGGAACTTTGCATAATATGTGTTCTTTCAGAGATACTAGAAAAAACACTACACTACAGTTTGCAGTAATATTTTTATTTATTCAACACAAAATGAATTTGTGAATTTGAGTCACTTCAGTCGCAGGAGAGATGATGTCCTTCTCTTCACCACAGATGTTGGGTCAGTTTAGTGTTTTGAAGGTCCAGATGTGGTAGACCTTCTAAACACAGTAATACGTTGGAGCCATTTTGGTTTTCTGAAGATTGGCCTGCTCGTGCTTGTTTTCCGAAGCTTAAATAGTCTTGAAAACAGCACCCGGAGACGAAGCGGAATCAGCCTGCCAAAGAAAGACCTGGAGGCTTTCTGGGTCAGTTGGCTAAGCTCAGCTTCTGTAGCTTCTCCATCCTGGAAGAGCTTCTCTATGTCCTCCAGTATTTCACCATAGTCAGGCAGGTCCTTTTTCAGTCTTTCTAAAATTTCTTTGTCTGTCTCCAGTGCATCTTGTTGGATTTTGCAAGCATCAACTTTGCCTTCTCTTGGGAGGTCAGAGGATATCCATATTGTTCCAACTTCTATTTCTCCTGGAGATTCTCGAAACCCTGTATCTCCAGTGGTGGGCAGATCTTTTGTGGACTTCTCAGATCCGAAAAATGAAACCTCACCTGGAGCTCTAGTGATACATTTGCTGGTGTCGCTACCACTAATAGATCCAATTGACATGGACGGACTTGCTATGAAAACAATGTTGTCCCCCAAATCCCAGGTGTTGTCATCTGGTTTAGGAAATAATAAATCCATCTCAGTAATTGCTTGGTTGGTCTGTTGTTGTGTTGGTCCAAACTCAGCCTCAGTGACGCACATTAACTCGTGAGCCTTTTTTGTGTAGTCATCACCATCAGGTAAGTGCTCCATGGTGATGAATGGGTGATCGAGGGCTTGCGATGGCAGGATCCGCTCCTCCGCGTCCAGTTTAAACATTTTACTGAGCAGGTCGTGAAACTGCTCCATATCTCTTTCCTCTTGATGGGAGACAAACATTCTTGAATCTTTAATAAGCTGCTCCAGGTTTGTCGCTGAAGGCTTGTGAAGTGTCATTTTAGGATTCATCCCAGTTGTCTTCCTAATCTCCTGCAGAGTTTTAAGTCTCCACGTGGCGTTTTCCTGAACAAAATACATGGGCGTGTACAACGCCTCGTTCAGGAGCTTCTCTGGTGGAACCCCAAAGAAATGCACAATCTTGTTCAGGAAGTCAAACTCAGAAAAGGCAATGAAGTCTGTGCTTCGGACAAACCAGTGAAGGAGACAGCAAGCCACACCCCACATGTCAACAGCCTCCCAAAGTGGAAGACCCAAAGTTACTTCTGGGGCACGGTACGAAGTTGGCTGCATCACCTGTCCAGTTAGATCTTGTCCTGAGTACACTGCCAATCCAAAGTCTATTAACTTGACTTTGAATGGCCTCTCCTTGTGGTTCACCAGCATAATGTTGTCTGGTTTGATGTCCGTGTGCATTACACCAACACAACGTAGACCATGAAGAGCTGTCAAGAGCTGCTTCGCCATTGGTCTTATTTGGCTCAGCGTGAAACTCTTGATCTTTAGCCAGAGATTGTAGACACTTACGTCTAGCATCTCAAAAGCAAGAGACCCACAGCCATCACAGTCAAAACAGTCAACCAGTTTGACTAGATTGAAGCTGTCTGGGTCTAGCTCCTCCTTGATGTAATTCAGCATCTCCATCTCCCAGTGGAAATTGTTGGAGAAGGTGCCATCATCTTTGAGGCGTTTTAAAGCGACAAGTTCCCCTGTCACTCGATCACGGCACTTGGTAACAGTACCGTAATAGCCCTCTCCGATGACTCCCAAAACTTCGTATTTGGTTTCGGGGTTGGTTTGCGCGAAATCTGTGAAATTCATTGCCGACGACATGTTGCGAAAGTAAAAGTTCACGAGCTCTGCTGAGTGTCTGTGTTCACTGGCTGAGTCTGGGTTGAAATGACCTTTACATACAGTGTGTGTAGAACTGGACTGAAAACTCCATGACAACGATGACTTTGTGTTACGTAATCGCATTCTATCTGTTTATGCATAAAATGCAACAGATGTTTATATTTGATTTGTGTATATAAATCAACAATCTAATTGCTATGGCAACCCTTGTCAGTGAAATCGCCAAGCCCAAATTATAGGCCCCATCCACATTATTATGTATTTAAGTCGTTTTCGTTGTGGATAAAGTGTTCGTCCACACTAATCCGATGGAAAACGGCTCCATAAACGGAATGATCTGGTGCCACCATCTCCCACGAATTCATTTGAGTATAGATCTGATCCAGCACCATGTGGATGCCTGAAAATGTTGATACGTTGATATTGGTCTATACACCGCGAAGTAGTTCACCTAGAATATATGTCCATTCATATATACAGTCTGTGCGTATGACCTGCAGAGAGATAATCTCTGAAAAGTTTAACATGAACCATCTCCAATGCGATAGAAACACAGAACAGACTCACCATCAGCAGAACACCCCTCTGTCACAGAAAGAACACTCATATTCCACCGATTCATGTCCTTTAGTCCAACAGAAGCTGAACCACATCAGCGCACAAGGATTGAGCTGTTTTTTTGAGCACTCATTTATGTAAATTAGCCATGTGGTTTTAAGTGTAGTTTCTGTAAAACCTAAACAAATACGCTCAAAGCTGTGTGGATAGGGAAGGCTTGCGGACACAGAAACATGTCTGGACGCAAATCGTTACCGATATGGTGATATGGTGATACAGTGATTTGTTTCAGTGTAAATGTAGCCATAGATTTGCATCGACTCAGTGTACACTACCGCCGTCGCCTTGTCGCCGTCGTTTTTGATTTATGGATCTGTGTCAAGGTCTATGTGCCATGAAGTAAATCACCACCACAACGCTAGGGGGCTAGGATTTAAAACTGGCGTTCATGTATTCAAAATGAAGCAGGAACGCGGAGTACCAGAAATTTATGTAGAGCGGATGTAGAGCAGACCAATCATAGCCCTTCTTGTCTGCGTCGCTTCCCCTTGTTGTCTGTGTCGTTTCGATGTGCAGTTTGAAAATTCCTGAGGTGCACGTCGGTCGATGCAGCTGATTTAAAAAAAAAAAATCAATATATATAGATTAACTAACTTAGTTTCATAAAGGGTACAATTCAGGGGGACCGTCCAGCCAGGGGGACTTTCCAGATGGTTCCCGTTGAGATACTATTCTAAAAACTGCACACTGCAAAAAAAATATGGCCAAAATTTTACTTATAAACACTTAAATCTATCTGAAAATGACTTAAAAGTGTGGTGAAATTATCTGTTCATGCAGCAAGATCATTTTACTTGTGATCTTAAAAAAAACAACCTCTAGACTAGAATGAATCAGTCTCCGAACTAGTAAGTAGATAATAAATCTGAAAACAAGATGAATAACCTGAGATAAGTTTTAAACTCTTGTCCAGATTAGAGAAACTTGTATTACATTTACCTTGTTCTGTTTGCAGGCTCTGATGCTTTGTCTGTGCTGCTGAGGGCTCCGGGCTGAAGAGTTTTACCTGGTGGAGAATCGTTGACTCGTTTGAAGTTTGTTTCGGGTCTGAGGATCATGGCGTCTCCGTTTGTGCCCGTCCCTCTGCCCCTGGACCGCTCCAGGACGGGGAGCAAACTCAGGAGGCCTCAGAGAGCTTCGTCTTTAGGTCTGGGTGAATACAATAAATACAAGATTACTGCTATCTCAATGATTAAGGGTACACTATGTAACTTTTTATTAATTTTTAAATTTATTTTAATTATTGCTCGTGCTATTATTTTGTTGGCATCGATTTAAAGATAACAACAACAAAAAATCTGACAATTTGCTGCATGAACAAAAGGAACAGGAAGAAGATAAATCTTATAAACCCTGCACCTTTTTTGGCTTAGGGTCCATCACATTCATGTTTCTATGGAAATATGTGCTTGGAATGTTCCACAGTGTGACATTAAACAGCTCTACTTTACATTTATTCAGTTACTGGTGGTTTTATAGCTCAAAAATACATAGAAAAACAGGCGTTCTGACTGTGAGCGGGGTCGCCTCTCCACAGATCTGACCTGTAACTTGGCATGGTTCAGTCTCCATGAAGATAGAAAGGTTTAATGGTTTAATACTATGAAACATTCCAGACAAAAGGAATAACATCTCCATGGAGAAAAGCATTTGATGGACGCTCCACCAAAAAAGTGACACACCTTAAAATTATACACCTTTAAAATATACTTGAGAGTTATATATTTATTTATTTTTGTGGTCATTTCTGGTGGATATTATAAAAAAATGTTTTTAGATGACCCCCAACTTAAACAGCAAATGAATATATATACATTTGATCAAATTTAAGTCTGAGCTCTGTAATAAACGATTTACTTTTGATTTAAATACGATGAATTGCAGCCCAAGTAAATTTTTTTCTCAGCGTTCAGTAAAATGTATTTCTAATTTGCATCGTATAGTTTCCTGTTCTCATATTAAAATGAATCATACAGGTGGATAGTGATTTCTCATGCTGCAACTTTTTTAATTGTTAAGTCTCAAAATTACAAACAAAAGGAAAGGTTTTCGTTAAGGCCTATCTTTTGATGTATAATTTTTTTATTTTTTTTATTTTTAGGCAGCGTATCCAGCAGCTCGGACTCTTCTGGCCCCAGGTTGAACGGAGACGGTCGAGAGTGTGGTGGAGGTATGAATATACAGTCACAAAAATGTAAACACAATAAATAAATCATTAAAAGCTCCTTTCAATTTAGAAAAATTGAATATATGCCTGATTTAATTTCATTTTTTGTACATTTTATTCATTTTATTCATTGTATATGAGCTGAAATAACCATAACAGAAACAAATCCATTGAATTCCTGTTTAGAATTGATTGCTGGTAAATCGCCTTTTCATAGCCACTTTTTACAAGCAGGAGATTTAAATTTATTACTTGGAAAAAAATAACTTTAATTCAGTCATTTTATCTGATGTGAGACAATGAAAATATAGAAATCGATTAAAAAAAAAAAGAGTTGTATTCTTTTATGATGGCTGTAATTGTGAAAAAAATTTGTAATCTCAATGTTTCTTTTGATAAAAAACGTCTTTACTTCTCTAGGTGGATTTGGTTCTCGGAGGTCCTCCCGCTCGTCTCGCAGCAGGACACCCCCTCCTGCCCAGAGCCCAGTACTGCGCGCCAGAGTGAACGGCGCCCTGGAGCCGTCTGTAGAGTTCTCCACCTGTCCACGCTCCATCTCCAACCCGGAGAGGAGCCCCCAAAGGCAGCCAGAGGAGCGCCCCATCACCCCCACCGTCCTGGGCTATGAAGTCATGGAGGAGAGGGCCAAATTCACGGTACATTTCTCTTCAATTTTGCCTTACTACGGTCCTTCTCAAATAGTTTGGCGATGCCAGGGGGTGTAATGTAATTGCATATCCACTACAGTAGTTGGCAGTATAGTGTCGGGTTTTTTGCATCGAGCATAGAGCAGTAGATGTGTGCAGAGAACAAACCCTCAAGAGACACCATGGAAAAATATTTAACTGGGATGAAAACAAAGGCGGAGAAAGGCGGAGATAATAAAACAAACGACAGTCTCCTCCGAAAGCTAAGACGAGTAAACATGATGAAGCTTATGTAGCGCTTGGCTTGGGAAAACGAGAAAAGACGGGTGTGTTTACTGTGTCTATAAACTTTGGCAGTGGACAGCCTGAAGCCAAATAAATTACGGTGTTGCTTAAAGACAATTACGCCCTAATCACGCTGATAAGCTGCTTGAGTTTTTTCAGTGGAAATGTGCCGAGTATTGCCAACAATCATTCTGCTTTGTGATTATAAACACTGTAGTCGCGACAGAGAGTGGAGAGTTGCAAAATGTTTTCTTTTTCCTAAGGGGAGGCGTAACAGAAAGTAATTGAGAAGCACTGCCTTTACTAGCCTGAATCAGCAACCGGTTTCACTTCTTGGAAACCGTCTGACCTCACAGCATTAGGATTCGTTTGCTTGACGGTGGGCGGGTACTTTTTTTATTTAGGCAATCGCTGCTATTTGGTTGTGACGTATGTAATGCAGCAAAGCTCGTAGGAAGAAGGGCGATAACGTCTTTCCCCTTGATAAAATTCACCAAACATTCTCTTTATTCCAACTTTAAATCCTTGATCTCGGGAATCATTGCCAACACAGAATGTCCGTCTTCGTCTTCATCCATCTCGACCGCTTTGTTTACTGTTGTGCTGTTCCACAAAACGGACCCAGACAGGCGCTTGTTTGTCGTCATGGCTTCACAGCTCTTCACTGATTGGTCAGTGCGCGGTCTACAACTTCTGAGGTTCTTATAAACCATCTAGTGTATTCTGATTCCTGACCTGGTTACTGGAAAGAGATGAAATTGAGTGGAGGCACTAAGTCGCGCCAGCCTGGCTACCGCCTCACTAGAAGATTGATTATTAAAAATACTAGAGATTAGCATTTGGTATTTACAGTTTTTTTTATTTTATACACTGTATCTGAAAATTACCCGTCTTAAAAATGTGAAAAACAGAACTAACGCATTTTAAACAGTTAACAGTGGTAAGACCCAGAGCTGTTTGTACAGTATAAAGAAATTATTAAAGATCAGAAGCACATGTGCTCAGCAACCTTGGGCCAATAGACTTCAAATGAGCCCATGATTTATTGAGTTAAAAGTTTTGGACATTTTTATCTATCTGTGTAAAACTAACTTACTTATTCAGCTGAGCACATACTAAAAGTGGTAGGAATGGTCTTCTGTTTAGATACAGAATAAAAGTTAATCGTGAATTTCAGTTTGGTTTGGTCCTATTGCCCTGTGTTACCTGTGCTTGCTTTTTTATAACAAAATTGTAGGCTAGACTAAATAATTTGTATTTTTTTTACATTTTTTAATTTGATTTCTACTTTCTTCTCTACAGGTGTATAAGATCCTGGTGAAAAAGTCATCAGAGGAGAGCTGGGTGGTGTTTCGGCGATACACAGACTTCTCCAGACTGAACGACAAGGTGCGTTTGTTTTCGTTTGGGCGTGCTAACTGTAGGCTCTGCTCTGTCTGAGGCTCTGTTAGACTTTGAGCTGAGCTTTGTTTAAACACAATCTGAACAGAAACACCTGACCTAGTTGGAGGTACAAAAGGTGAGCTGATTTTTCCTGTTAAACAAGTCCCTCGCACATAACATTACAGTCACAAGCTTGTCAAAAGCTCCACTCTGAGGAAAACCGCTCGTGAGCTGTCGAAACTGTCCAGTATGAAAACAAACTCTTGCGCTGAAAATATCACCTAATAATATAAATTAGCCAAAAGTTTTTCAGTTTGTCACTTTCAGCTTTTTTGTTGAAAATCAAACACCTAAACAGGACCATGATCGCTCGGACTTATCACAGCCTTGTTTTGTTTAAATCCATTAGAATTTTTTCTTGAGTTTTCAGCCAGGTTAAAACTTTTTTGGCTGTGTTTGAATTGTGTCACTGTGGTAACTGCTGAATACTCTGCCATACACACACATGTAGAAGACCCCCTAGCATCAAAATTAAGGGGAAAATTAGGGCTATAATTAAAAACTGAGACAAATTCATGGGCCAAACTAGATATTTATTGAAAAATTTCAACAACATCTGCATGTTTTCTCTTCTTTCGAGATATGTAATGTTAAACCTTTTTTTTAATAATAATAACAGTTTTGCTTAAACATTGAATCCAGAACAAGTATAATATAAAATAATAACAAAATTTTAAATAAATAATTTCTCTGTAGCCTCTCTGTAGCCGGCGGGCCAGCTCTAATACATATTTGATATGATCTCGCAGGCCAAATTATATTGCAGGCCAAATTTGCACCCCGGGCCTGAGTCTGACATATCTGCCCTAAAGAATCTATATTTAAGATTTCACTACTATTCTTGCCTAGATTTGTCTTTTTTTTAAATGTTGGCAAAGTTCATAATTTTACTTCTTTGTTGGACATGAGCAACAGATGTTACATACTGTATGTAGAGGTAATGCCTTAACTGTTACCTAGCAACCATAATGTTAATAAGGGCCAAGACTTGGTTTAATTGCACATTTGTTATAATTTAGAACAGATCTGGGCTTCTGGAGTGAATTAATTGAAGGATGATGTTTTTAAGATACTAAGAGAAATGGGTGTGAATGAGGATACAGAAATGTTATTATAAATTATTCTCTTTGTATGTTTGATTTTATGAATGATAACATCAACTATAATATCAGGGACTACAGGTGGAAATTAGCACTGGCCCTACAACCTGGTACAGAGCATCTCTTTTTTTAAGGTTAATGTATATGTGCACTGTCCCTGTCTCATTAAACAAATAACTAAACGAAGCTAAATGAAACTAAACGAAACAAAACAAAACTAAATGAAATTAAACTAAACTAAACTAAACAGCTCCTGGGTCACATACGGCCCATTTATGACAATTTGGAAATTGTGGCTGAGTGGCTAGCACTCATGCCTCACAGCAAGAAGGTTCTGGGTTCGAATCCCTGGGTTCGCCCGGGCCTTTCTGTGTGGAGTTTGCATGTTTCTCCCCGTGTCTGGATGGGTTTCCTCTGGGTGCTCCGGTTTCCCCCATCAACCCAAAACATGCTACAGGTCTCCATAAACAGTTGATAGTCAAGGTCAGTTGAATCCAATCAATTCAATCATTGTGTCCTTAGGCAAGACACTTCGCCCACATTGCCTAGTATGAAAGTGGTGTGTGTGAGTGATGGTGGTGGTCAGAAGAACCGATGGCGCCGAGTGGCATGGCAGCCGCGCTTCTGTCAGTCTGCCCCAGGGCAGCTGTGGCTACAGTAGAAGTTTACCATCACCAGGGTATAGAGTGAATGAATAATGCTGAATGAATAATGCTGAATAATGCTCTGTAAAGTGTCTTTGGGGACAAAAAATGTCTGTGAAAGCGCTATATAAATAAAGACTTACTTACAAAATAAACATATTTTATCATTTTACCTCATGCATGGACTAAAGCTGGATTGCTTTTATTTTAGAGGGTTTTTTTTACTAACTACATTTTTTTTAAGAGAGCCTCACTTTTTCATTGATTAGACTTAACATTAAGTCTTACCAGCACATCAAAACAATGATATTTACTGATTTTTATAAAGAAATACAATTAATATTATGCAGAATTGAGCTAAGCATGTTGGCCCTCCACAATAATTTCTGTTTCTCGTGTAGCTCTGAGGAAAAAATAATTGCCCACTCCTGATTTAGACCAATAAAAATGACAACAACACCTGTATTTTTTGTTAAATTAATGTTTAATGTCAGAAAAATGTCAGATTGCCTGCACATTTTGGATGGAATTTCCATGTTGACGACAGAAGTGTGTTTGTGTAAGAACTCAGCTTCCTGTGTTTTCGTACTTTTCTTCACAGCTTTTTACCACAAACTGCCATTTATCTGATGTAAAACCATAATAAATATTGACCACAAATGTTACTACTCCCACCAAACCATGTCACAATTAGAAAAAAATTTGAAAAATTTTCACATGCCCTTTAACACTCAGAAAGTTTCGTTTTTGCTCACGCTTTTGTTCAGTAACTAGGAAAGTAATATTCCCTGACAAAGTGACGCACTTTTTGCCAAAATTCACTCTGTTTTTGGTTATTTGTGAAGACGAGACTTGGAAAACTTTAGAAATGTTGAGATAATATCTTCCGCAAAAACAAACAAACTCAGGCATGGAATGATTGAAAAACTGGAAATTTTTGGAGTTTTGGTCCCTTAAATTTGCTGGAGGTGGTCACTTGCCTGATTCCATGAAAACAGAAAATTAAAACCATAATTCTGATCATAGATAAATAAGAGATAGATAACAGATAAATAAGTTTTATGCCACACTGTTGAAGATTATAACCAGAGGCCTCTTCTCGGCCATATAACAGTCAGGTTTGTGGAGATGTAAACCTTCTCAGAATAAAGACACGTTTCCCTAAGATTTTCAGTGCAATAAACACAACCAACATGGCTCAGAAGTTACATACTGTTACTTTAAAGGTGCACTGTGTAACTTCTAAGGTGGAGCATCCGTTACTTGCTTTTTCTTCATGGGGATGTTATTTCTTTGCATGGAATGTTCCACGGTAGGGCATTAAACACATCTGCCTTCCACTTGTTCAGTTACATATGTTTTATAGCTCAAAAATACCTTAAAAACAAAATACAGGGTTCCCACGGTCATGGAAATCCTGGAAAAGTCCTGGAATTTTAGCATCTCTTTCACGCAACTACAGCGTTTTGTTCTCATTGGACTATTATGATTATTTCTGAACATATGCACCTTTTGTTTTAAAGAGACGACAATAAATGCACTGGCTGTATTTGAATGTTAAAAAACTATAATTTCATTTCATATTTAGCCCTAAAAGTATGCTGAATTCTACACATGTAGGTGCCGTGAAGTCATGGAAAATTCACTTTAGGTCATGAAAAAGTTATGGAAAAGATTTCCAAAAAGCCTGGCCAGATCTGTGGAGATGCAAGCCTGCTCACAGTAAAGACACATGTTTTTCTAAGAGTTTCAGTGCAATAAACACGAGTTACATACTGTTGTTTTAAAGGTGCACTATGTAACTTCTAAGGCAGGGGTGTCAAACTCATTTTCACCAAGAGCCACATTTGGATCATGTTTGTCATCAAAGGGCCTTTTATAAAGTTGAGACTGCAACTGTAACTGTAATATCGGTATGTTACAAAACTGTAAAAGTCTGTATTTGATTTTTCATTTCATATTTATTCATTTTGTTTATTTTTATGTTTTTTACCTTTGTATAATTTATTGGTATTCTTGCTCTTATTTCACTAGTTTTATTGTCTTAATGAGGACTAGTAGAGTTAACTATACCTTTACTTTATATTTCTATTGGATATGTTTTATTTGTATTGTTTGGAAACAGTTTTGTTTTTGAAATGTGATATAGAAATAAAGTGGATTGGATTAGATTTAAAGGTTTAAGTTAAAACATTCACATTACTCCTTCAATAACATTCATGAAATAGCCGTCCTTCTGTGTCAATTTTCCTTTTCTTGGACATTTTTGGGGAAACATGATGAGTTTTCTCGGCCTCTCTAGTGGCGAGATGCAGTCACTTCACGGGAAATGACTGCGGTGCATTGTGGGAGATGTAGTAGCGGCACAGAGTCACAACATAATAATAAATTATACCTTTTAACCCCTTGTGGGCCACATAAAATGGCTTGGGGGCCTTGGCCTTGCCAAATGTGTTCTAAGGTGAAGGGAGGGTCCGCTACTTGTTTTTCTCCATGAAGATGTTATTTCTTTGCCTGGAATGTTTTACAGTAGGGCATTAAACACATCTGCCTTGCATTTGTTCAGTTACAGATGTTTTAAAACTCAAAAATATCTTAAAAACACAAATTCTTACTATGTGCCAGCTTGCTTCTCCGTAGATCTGACCATTAACTCGTCTCCATTGTAATAACCAACTTTATTTCCGTACAGTTAAATAATTAAAGCAAAGCAATGTTGTTTTGTTTTTGTTTTTTAAAATCATATTACTATAACTTTACAATCTTGGCTGCTCTACCCTTTTATTTTGTTTCTATTTGTGTTTGGGTCAAAGTTAAGTCCAGGAATGACAAACTGACCTGTTGGTATTTGAACATTTTTAATCACAAACACTTCCACAACCTGGGCTCTGTCAGTGTATGGATTAAGTGTCTCTAAAGCACCCCCTCCTGGTGAAATTTAATATACCCCCACAGAGCTCCTACAGAAGACAGACAGCGCAGATCAAAGGGGCAGGTTATGGTTTCACCCCATTCAGGTTTATGGGAGGGAGGTTTTATGACCAGGTTTTATGATGGTCCCAATGGGAGGTTGCTGTTGTTCCTCGTCATTTGTTTCGTTCTGTGTTTGTTGATGTGAAAATCTCAAAACAGAAGAACACGCCCAGTCATCTGAGAATACAGTGATCATTAACCACATGTAATCGGATATGTATGCGTCGGAAAATAAGTTTGGTGGATGGAAATTAATTACATGTATTTTTCTTACTGATTTAATAATGTTCTGTTCATTCTCTTGTACTTTCCTATTTTTCTGTATCCATTTGTAGCTCATGTTCCCAGCAGTTTTGAGATACAGTATGTCATTTTCTGGAGGTCACCTGCACAATTCAATAAAAGTAGAAAGTTAAAATCATGCTTCATAACTAGGGCTGGGTTTCATTAAGAAATTGCCGAAACGATACATACTTCGATACATAGGCCACGATATGATAAATATCTTAATACAGTGCACTTTCGATTCAGTACGATATATTTCAAATCGATTCAAAATGGTTCAGTAAAAATAATGTCTAATCATGGCTGTGATGCTTAAAGTCTTTGTTAAACCACTTCTTGTGCAAAGTTCATATGAAACACAAACATTTTAATCATCAAAACAGTGAAAATGTCAACTTAAACAAGTTTCCATCCACTAAACAAGCAACAAAACTGTAGTGATGTGACAAAATAATTTAGTAAAATATACCTAAAATATGATTTATCGATACAGCAGCCCACAATATTGATACTGTATTGTCACATTAAACAATACGATATTTCAATATTTTTGCACACCCCTATTTGTAACTTTCTCCATGGAGAGGTAGTTTACATGCTGTGGAAGACATAAACAAAGGAACAACATTTCTATGGAAACAAGCAGGAGGAGGCTTCTTCAGGCCAAATAAGAGTCAGGTTTGTGGAGATGCAAGCCGGCTCAAGTTTTTGAGTGCACAAAAACACAACCAAAATGTAAAAAACATTCCTTTCTAATCTGTTTTTTTTTTGGCCCAGAAGGTACATAATATGGCTTTAGAGTTGATGGGAAAAGAGATGCTGTAATCCTTCATTCTTCTCTTTTAAAGTAGTATGCAGTTGTGACATGTGTTGGCTTTTGATTGATTAATCTGATTGCTTAATTTATTTCAGGCACAGGTATATTCTGACATTATTTCACAGACAGTCATATTTAACATACACTGACTGAAAAGGTGTCGGCTGAAGCTTGAGCTTATTTTGCCTCTACTCTTTATTCCTTTGTCAGAGCATCATCAAACCAGTTCATATTCATAAATACAGCAAGAAGAAACAAACAAATCAGTAACAGTACATCAAAGTATTATAGCCCAAACTAAGTATCATAATTAATTAACATCAACATTTAAACTTCTTGATAAAATGGAAGAAAGTGGTGCACAATTTTAGGTCTTATGTACAGTTGTTCCGAGGTCCACCCTTTAATAGATATTTTTAAACCTGTTATGTTGTATTTTACATTTTTAATTGCTTTGACAATGGTCCCAGTCATTCTGAAACCCATGGATAGGCTCTAAAATGTCATTGTCCTTGTAAAATAATTATGTAATTTTCATTTTAATTCTGTATTTTGTTTGCAGTTAAAGGAGCTGTTCCCTGGTTTCCGGCTGGCTCTGCCTCCAAAGCGCTGGTTCAAAGACAACTACGACAGCGAGTTTCTGGAGGAAAGACAGTTGGGTCTTCAGGCCTTTCTACAAAACCTGGTCGCTCACAAAGACATTGCACACTGGTGAGGGTGTCTACATGTTTTATTTTAGCACTGCCGAAATGAAATATTATTTAAATAAAATGATTTCTGTGTTTTACAGTCAGGCAGTGAGGGAGTTTCTGTGTTTGGACGATCCACCAGGACCCTTCGACAGTCTCGAGGAGAGCAGGGTAAAACAAAACGGCTACCATATAATGCGAGCTTATCTTTTAATCCATTAAATCTATCTGCAGCTAATCATGTATCAGTGCTATTCAGAGCTTTTGTATGCGCCTGTCCAAATACTGAGAATGAGAAAAAATTTGTCTATCTACAGGTTAAAGGTTTCGTAGTACTTGACGTTGTTTCCTCGTCAAAAACATGCCTGGAGTTGTGTTTTGTTTCATTCACACATGTTTAACACACATATTCTGCATATTTAGGCTGAGTTCTTCTCTCAAACTGAAAACTGTTCCACCTTCTGATGTCATGTGGTGATACAGGGAGTGCTCCACTGTGTTTTTAAACTCCACACACCTTCACTAGAAACATTTAGATGGAATTGTCAATCTTTACTAAACAAAAGGTAAAATTTATCTGTTAACTTGAAAATAAAGGGTTACTCAGACATGTGACTGACACAAAACACAACTCCAGGTCTGTTTACGAGGAGGTAACAACATTCTAACATGGCTTAAATTTCACAAGAGTCAATTTTGCGTAATATAGGACCCTTGTAACTCAGGTCCGGTTATGATTCCGATACCATTTTTAAACCACTGAGGGCTCGGGCTGCATACCCTCTCTGCTCCAACATGCTGCTTCACCCCAGTAAACCTCTGAACTTCCGCCAAACCCAATAAACGTCAGCCCCTGTTTCTGTTACATCATCTTTATCTGTTCAGAGTTTCCCGTGGTATGGCCGGGCTTCAGATAACATCACAACATTCTACTGGCCAATAATATTTACTACAGATGGGGCCAACGAAAATGAATATTGAATCTCGTTATAAAACAGTGAGTTCTTGGGTTTAGACGCTAATAGAAATTATCAGGTTCAACATTTGTGGATTTATCTTTATGGATATTTCATAGCAAAGTATAATGTAATCAATAACGAAAACCCCCATCTGAGAGTATTCCAGAATCTAAAAACAACCAATATTTCATGTATTATTTTAGCATTTCTGTATATTTCTGGTTAATGTTTTAAAATAGTGTCAATATAGATCAAAATCTTTTATTCAGCCAGTTAGATTTTGATGTTTAAGTCCTGGTTTAGACCCGTTAATGTCATAACACTGGATTCACTGCACTACTACATGGCACATTTTAGTTAGTTAATCATGTATTTTATTGGTTTTATTCTTAAAAGGTAATGAATGCATGTTACCAAGGTATTTTTGAGCAGTAAATTAAACTTGTTGCTTTGTCCAAATGTGTGTGCAGGCTTTCTGTGAGACTTTGGAGGAGAGCAACTATCGTCTTCAGAAGGAGCTGCTGGAGAAACAAAGGGAAATCTCATTATTAAAGAAGCAGCTGGAGGAGAAGGAGCAGGCCATCCTTCTGCTGGAGAGACACATCAGGTCAGTGCTGCGTTGCTACACGGGCTAGGATTTAAATGAATTTCCACCGGGATAATTAAAGTACCATATTTTCCGCACTCTAGGGCGCTCTGGATTATAAGATGCACTGTCATAGAATGGTCTATTTTCAAACTTTTTTCACATATAAACTGCACCGGACTATAAGGCGCATTAAACAAAACGCAACAGTTGGATGTGTTAGTGGGACTTTGTTTGTGGCGTTCACGGTGACTCTGGGCTTTGTTCAGTTGTGGCGTGTAGGGAGGGTGCTGTCTGGGACCGCTGGATTGTCGGCGTGTTCTCAGTGACTCAGTTGTTCAGTTGTGGCTCAGATTGGCACATTGCGCTCGCTTTTTCGGTTCATTCCTCTGTTCCGTTCCTCGTCAGCGTGGAGTGATGAGTGTGGCTGCGGGTGGTGCGGGTTTGTAGTTTACTGAAGTCGTCCTGGGACACCTGAGTGGATTCATGTATGGAGCGCTCTGGATTGTGGGGCGTGCAGTCATTTTTTGATGGGGTTGGAGGCTTAAGAGTAGGGATGGGCATTCAATGAAATTTTCTTAATCGATCATCGGCAGAATTAACGATCGATTATCGATTAATCATTAACGTTTTTATACAAAAATGATCATCATTATTATTACTATCTGCACTACTAATCTGCATAAATAAATTCAACTTTACGACATATAAACCGTAACCACTCTAGAGCCACATCGTTTTGGATTATAATGTGTTTAATTCAGTTTTGTGCAACTCTCACAGAAACGAAACTTAAAATCGCATCGCTAATTTGCATAAACTAAGCGAAGATAAAACTACAGCTCTTGTGCCGCTGATGCGGTTCAACTTCTCTCAGATTAAAAGACATGACTGAGTGGAATACAGGTTAGTGTGACCAGATTTGCGTTTGTCAAAACCAGGACACCGTATGGGGGGTGGGAGGTGGGGACTCGTCATCGACATTGAGCTACTCTCACCTGGCAAAACTTTGCCCACTGGACACCGAAACATATGTGCTGCTTTGTACACTGTGCACATGGACTCACACTTGTCCCGACCGGAAAGCATGGAATTTCTTGTACAAGTCATCATTGCACATCGTTCGCATTTGCACTTCAGCACATTGCAGGCTGACCGACATGTACGGACCCCTGTTTGGTCACGCTACGTACAGCAACCTACATTCAGTTTGTCGATTAAAATGAACGTAATCGATGAAATTCTTAATGATGAATTATTGATTAATCGACTAATCATGCCCATCCCTACTTAAGAGTGCCCCCAATAGTGCGGAAAATATGGTGTTTATCTGATTTTAAGATGAGGATACAATAATGTTAAAATGGTGTTAAAATCGTATGATAAAAATTTTTCTCATTCCTGTGACGATTTTCTGTTTTGGTCATATTATCACATTATAATTCATTCTTAGGATCCTTTCTGGAAAACAAACTTTTATTTTAGACCAGTGATTCTCAAAGTGGTTCATTGGGGCCTCAAAGTTGGTTGGGTAAAATGTATATCATGTTTTTCTTGGAGCCATCTACAAATGCCTTTATTTTGCCTTTAGGAGGTAACTTAAGACAATTTCTACGTCCCTCTCTTCATTCTAGCCTTCCAGAGGTTGACCAATAAGAGGAGTGACTGGGAAAAGTCTGTCTTTAAACAGATATAAAGTTAAATCATGTTGTGACCATATTCTCAAAATATTATTATGAATATTGTCACTGCTGTTTGATTTGTTTTGCCATATCGCCCAGTGCTCCCTCAAAGGCACTACAGAGGATCCCCAAAGCCTGTCCACACAACACCAACAAAACAAAATTGAGTTTCACTATATTAAATGTTGAAGTAAATATTGTAAACTGAACCTTCTGTCTCTTTTCTTTCTGTCCCAGTGGAGACACAGTGACGCAGGATTCGCCCTGTGTCTCTGTTCAGGGCAGTGAGAGCAGCGCAGACGTGGAGTCTTCTGCTGCCGAGGCCGACCAAGATATCACAGATCACAACAGGTAAAAATACACACAATATACACAAAATATACTCAAAAATACAATCTCTCACTTGGGTTGCCAGTTTCAAAGATGTAATCCAGTTGGTTTAAACCTAATGGAACTAGCTCTACCTAAACCCCAAATTTTCTAAGTTGAAATATACACACACAAATTACATGTTCCTTGAATAATGCGTAATAAATGACTATACTATTATTACTATTACAAATCTGTTGCTACTCTAAATTTAAAGTACCCCTCAGACATTTGAAAAAGACACACTCAACTTTCACAAGTGACTAAATAATTTAATTTCAGTTAAAGTGAGTTAATCAAATTGGTGTTTTTTAAATTTAAGTTGTTTATTTTAATTGTAGATCACCTGACATCTCTAGTGTTCAGTCATTTATTAAACAAGATGTGTGAAATTAGTCAAACTTATTACAAGATTTAAAGGGTAATTATGTAACTTTTGTGCTGGAGGGTCTCCATGGAGATGTTATTTCTTTCCTTGAAATCTCCCACAGTATGGCATTAAACAAACCTATGGCTGTGGGCACATAGTTAAAGTGCATATTTTTCCAAGATGCAATCAATCAAAAACACAATGTAAATTTAATAAATACAAGCTAGATATGATTAATGCCATGCTGTGGAACATTCCAGGCTAAGCAGTAACAGCTTGACGGTAGAAAGCCGATGGTGGTTCCCTCACCAGAAAAGTTACTTAAAAAGTGGTGCCTGTTGTGTTATTTTGACCGAAAATGGTCAAAATAAACTGACTTTTCTAAAACTTAACGACGTCTCTCTGAAGTTAATGTCGAGGTTAAGAGGTGACACTAAACACATACTGTAACATAAATCTGTTTTACTTTTGCTCAAGTTTTCTATCTCAGACATCTTTGGGTCTTGACTTATTTTTATAGGACATTTTTTAGATTCCAGGCGGTTAACTAAAATGTTATAAACCTAAAAGTGCACTTCATTTTACACAATAAAACCTAAATTTCTAGCTTTTCATGAACTAAACTCAACTAAATCATGGGTTTCAGCTATTTCGCATTCAGAAGATATTATAATTTGTTAATTGCTATGGCAAGAGTCCTAATTTTGATCATTCTGAAACCCATGGATAGGTTGAAAAGAGTTAAGACACTGGATAAAAGTGAATCAAAGTGGCTTACCCCGATTTTTTTTATGTAATACAGCAAAAATTTTCTTGCCTCAGCACGGACATAGTGTTTTCATCATCTGTGGATAAGATAAACGCACAGTTAGCATGTTTAAACTCCGCTCTACTGTAGTCTCTAAAGGCTGTGAAAAGTGCTTATAAACTCATTGTGGTGAATAATTAGGATGCTCTGAATGCATAAAGTAAGAGAGGAATAACTTTGGACAACTGCAAACTGTTGAAAATGAACCAGGTCTGTTTTTCACTATCTTAAGACCGTAAAAAATCAGGTACAGCACATTTAAGGTTCAGGATATTGCAAAATTTGTTGAATTATTTTGACATCCTCTTCACGCAATAATCTCCTATGACCCCAAACTTTAACCTTTTATGATTTTCTGTTTTGTTGTCACTGTTTATTTCTTCAGCAGCACTTCCCCAGTTTGTCAAAGAGCCTAAAACGTGTGAGGTACTTTTACCTGCTGTGCAAACTTAATAACATACCATAGATCTGTGTCTCTGTCCTCTCTCCTCTTCCTGTCGTTTTGATATTCAATATGTCTGACTCATGGTGTTCTACGCAGTGTGCACTTTACCATCGGAGCTGCAGTCTTTTCTTCAGTGTATTTGCCTCTGAATGTTGCATGTATGTCTTGTGAAAAAGTATTTCTTCCTGAAGTTCAGTAGAGTTTGACAGCGATAAAAGAAGATAGGCCACAATATGATGCATATCTCGATACATAGGCCACAATATGATACATATCTCGATGCAGTGCAGTTTCGGTTCAATACAATACAATATATTTCAAATCGATTCGATACGGTTCAATAAAAAATTAACGCTATATCATGGGTGTGATGCAAAAAATCTTTGTTAAACCACTTCTAGTGCAAAGTTAAACATTTTAATCATCAAAACAGTGAATATGTCAAATGTGTTCCACTAAACAAGCAAAAAAAACGCAGCTCTGTCACAAAATTATTGTAAAATATATCAAGAACATAAAGAAAAATCCTGCACACGGTCTTACTTGCAAAATGTAAGATTTACTACACGGTTTGTCCTAATAAATCTCAAGTAAAACGGTGTGCGGGATTATTCTTTATGTTCTTGGGCTGCTCCCTTTCCTCCAACACACCCGTCTCAAGTAACTGATGTGCAAAGTTCTCATTCTTTTGTAAAATATACCAAAAAATATACGATATATTGATACAGTAGCCCACGATATCAATACTGTATCATCACATTAAACAATACAATATATATCGATATTTCAATATTTTTGCTCACCCCTAATCACAATGTCGAATTACAAGTCTCTTTGCTTAAATTAATAGTTATAGTGCAGCAATATAGCTAAAAAAAACACAAAAGGAACTACATAGACCATGATCCTTTGCTCCGTTTCTGTTCCGACTACAAGTACATGAAGAAATAACTGTTATAAGCACTTTTAAATCTTAATTCTTTGGATTGTCACAGAACTAAAGTCGTGTCAAGGCATTTTAAAAGGAAAAGGCATCCACAAAATTTGGTAATAAATATGGTACCGTGAGATGTATATCGTGAAAATATCGTACTGAGAGATTTGGATATCGTTACATCACCAGTAAAAGATACAGTAATCGGTACAGATCAACGGATATGTTTTTTATTTTCATGGCTGATATCAATTGTTTAGAATCCAGATAAACCGATATCTGATCATCTCTGACGATATTTTCTGAGCCAATATGCAGGGCCAAGTTTGATTATTTTTCCCCATATTCTGTCATTTCAGTTCACTACAAACTCACTCTAGTCTAGACGATGAATGAATTGGTTTTGTATCTAAATGATTTTTTTTTTCTTGAAGCTTAAAAAATAAAGTATAAAAAAAAAAAAAAAAAAAAAACTCACTCTAGATGCGCTAAACATCTGTAACTTTTCACTTAGAGGGTTTTTCACTTGTGTTTCTGATGTTTTGGAGTCTTGGTCACAGAGTGAACCATCCTCTATCTGCATCTGTGATCAATCTTTGTGACGAATAGAAAACACAAGCTCTCCTCAGAAGAGCTCCACCGTGACCTAGACACACTCTCACAGATTCCCTTTGATTTCCAGACTTTTATAAAACCAGAAACAGCGATAGCATTTAGATATACCCTCAGCCTAACCTGTACAGATATGGAGATGATGTCACACAGAGCAGGAGTCTGACATTCGCTCAGAAACAAACTTTAACTGATCATGAGCACCATCGGAGTGTGTGTCTGTGAGCTGTTGTACGATTTAAACTCCTCAGGTCTTGTAGTGTGACAATTTTATAAGATGAAAAAAATTCAATAAATGCAGTGGCCACAGCAGCTTAAGACCAAATTTGGGAACAAAACAAATGAACACAATTGCAGCACCTATAGATCTTTGATGTTTCAAGATTCTCAAGAAGACTAAAGTGTTTTTGATATGTCCAAAATTCCAAACTGTTCCTTTAAATTACTTCACTTTAGAACTACTATTAACATTTATTTTGATATTTTACTGATTATTAGGGCTCCAGTGTGCAAGACCTGTCCCACCGATCACTTAGTTGACTAAAAATGTCTCAAAACTATTACATATCTGTGTGTATCGGTTTTCTGGTGTCTGGCTTTTATATTTAACATCTTGTGCTGCATCTATTGATAAGAATGTCTGTGTGAATTTCTGAATGTCTTTGTATGCTGGATCTGCTCTGTCTCTGTTTGTCCTGTCTAACCATGCAAACTTAAAGGTGCACTACGTAACTTTCCAAAAGGAGGGTCTGCCACCTGCTTGTCTCCATGGAGATATAGTTATTGCTGTGTCCGGAATGTTCCACAGGATTGAATTAAACGTAAAAATCTTGTAATTACAGTTTTATTTGCTAAAATGATCTTCAAAAACATGCATTCTCACTGTGAACGGAAATGCCTCTTCGCAGATCTGACCTGACACCATCACCTGGTTGTCTTCATGGAGGCAGACAGGTTTAATGCCATACTGTGGAACATTTTAGACTAGTAGTTTCCAACGTTTTCTGTATCTGTTTAATGTAATGTAGTTCAATTATTATGAAACGTTCTTACTTAATTTTCTTATTACTTTAAAATCTAAAACCATTCCTGCGATCCATGAAAAGCGATAACATCTCCATGGAGACAAGCAGGGTTGGACCCTCCCCCAGAAAAGTTCCGTAGTGCACCTTTAAGACTCATTTATATTCCTTTTGGTCACTCTGTATTTTACGCTGCACTTGATTCATTCATTCTACCTGTACCTCATGAAATACACTATAACACCCTCTAATACCATGTAATAACACTTAACTACAATGTAATTAACATGTAATAACACAGTGAAGTGTAAAATACAGTGTGACCTGGTACATATTTAGAGGTGTGTTCTTTTGCAAGTGTAGTTATTGTCACTAAGTGAATATTTCCAGTTGTTTTATTTGTGAATGTCTGAATCTCTTCTCTCTCTCCCTTCTCCCCCTACCCCCATTCTTCTTTCCCTCCTTTCCTTCCTATCCACTCCTTCCTCTATTTCTTTCTCTCTCTCTCTCCCTTTTGGGGCTCCTTCTGTCTTATCTACCCCGTGCCCTCTCTCTCTCTCTTTCTCCTCCTCTCTTTTTTCTGCCCCTCTCTCATGTTTCCCTTATCTTCAATCTTCCTTCCTCTTTTTCTCTTCCTCCCACATCCCTCCTTTCCTTCTCTCCTTCTCCCTCACTCTACCCTTGTTCATTTATCCCTTTCTCTCCCCTATACACCCCCTCTCTTTCTGTCTCTCCCTCTCTTACCCTCTCTCTCTCCATCCACCCCCTTTCCCTCTCTCCCTCTCTCTACTCTCCTTCTCTCTTTCCCTCTCCAACTCCCTTTTCTCTTTCCAACCATTCCTTCCCCTCTCTTTCACTCTCTCCCTCCCTCTCTACTCTCCATCTCTTCTATCTCTCTCTCTCTTTCTATCTCCCCCTCTCTCTCCCATCCTCCCTCTTTGTCCCTCTTTCTCCCCTCTGTGCCTCTTTCTCCCCCTCCTTCTCTCTCAATTTCTTCCCTCTTCTCTTTCTCTCCCTCCTTCCCCTCGCTCCTTCTCTATCTTTCTCCCTGTCTCTCTCCCTCCCCCTCCTGTTCTCTCCCTCTGTCTCCAACCCTCCCTTTTTCTCCCTCTCTCTCCCTCTCTTTCCCTCTCTCTGCGTTCATCTCTGCTCCCTCATTCCCTCTCTCTCCTTCTTCCCCTCTATCTCTCCTTCTCTTTCTATCTCCTCCTCTTTCGCATTCTCCCTCTCGCTCTATCCCTCTTCCCCTCCCCTCTCTCTCTCCCTTTCTCCCTTTTTCTCTCACTTTCTCTCTCACTCTTTCCCTCTCTCTCCCTCTCTTCTCTCCCTCCAGATCCACAGCTGCAGTGATCCGTTCTTCGTGTTGGTGCGCTCCTGCTCTCAGCACGTCTCCTCCCGTCATCGAAGTGACGCAGCTCGACCATCACCCGCAGAACAACTCGACCTGAAACCTTCAAATGCTAAATATTTTCAAAGTTTATCCCAACTCATATTTTATTTTCCACTTAAAACTGAGCGACAAGGAACAGGAATATTAACTGTACCTTAATTAACCTTAATAAAGCATGAAGAAACACTTAATTCATAGTGAACAAATAGTTTATTAGGAATGATTCATGCTTTATTAAGGCTAATTACAGTCTAGTTATTATGAAGTGTTACCAAACTTCTATGCGTTTGGGATCAGCCTCGAAATGGTAACTTTAAAGCCATACTGCGGAACATTTCACCCAATAAATAGATAATAAAACTTGTCAATCTTGTTTCAATAACCCACTTAAAAAATCAGTGAGTTTCATTGCGTTTGTAAAAAAAAACACTTTCGGAGTGAATATGTTTCGCTCTCGGACGTTTCAGTGTGGTGTGGTGAAAAGTTAAGGACCATTACCATAGCAATTAACAATTCAAAAGAAAATATTGTATATATTTTGAATGGATAAAAGTTCTCAAAATGTCGCCTATAAAGGGAATAGAGGGTGGATCGGGTAGAATTTTTCTGTCCGAGCCTGGCGCGCATCTGACAGAGCAGTGATTGCACCCTACCCGAGCTCGACCCGGCATTACGATATTTGTGTCCGAACCCGACGCAGTAAAAATCACACTATTTTCAGAGGCCTGCTATGCCACACGTAGGATACTGTTTGCGTGGCCTCTAACGGACACAGAGACGCAAGATACAAACTCAGGATATAGCGAAAATAATGAGAAGACTTTATTACTCACCTCTCGTAAAGTGGTAAAGTGCATAGAAATTGTCCTCTGCAAATAATGACCCCAGTCCTCAAAAACTCGCTGTTCATCCAGTTTGAGTTGTTCTTTAAAAGTAAAAAGGCAAGAGTAGTTCCTCATGTGTTTGTTTCCATCCACACAGCGCATGGATTGAGGTGAAGCTGCAGTTTAGCAATAGTGACCCTATTTCCCGTGCACTTTATCACCCTTTTTATGCTTTAAAAATCACGTATCTGAAATTTTGCACCACATTTCACAAATAATAATGACTCAGAGCACTGCACAGACTTCGGTTAGGTTTCCACGCTCTAAAAGGGAAGTAGAATAGTGTTACTTTTGTATATAGATGAGCAGTGCCGGCGTGTTTGTTTACATATCAGAGAATGTTCCGCAGTACGGCTTTAACCCTGGTTCTGATTAAAAATACAGATAATACAGATTGGATCACAGGTTCTTGCTTAAGGGACTTTATTATTAAGATTTTTGGCTGCTCCTCTTTTCACCTGTGACACTGTGATCCCAGCTCACTTTTTCAGAACAGCTTTTGTTGACTCTGGCTCGACCGACTCTGAAACTATCGTCCTTCTGCGGCGTCCATGTTTTTGCTTCTTACCGCTTTATTGTAACCGTAGTTTCACCTTCACATTTTGGAGGAGGATCTAAGCCAGGAACGAGGATCCTCCACACTACTGCTTGTTTGACTTAAAGGCTTATTCCCAATTATACAAAACTCCAAAGGATATTTGATCAGGAAAACAAAATACTGCAAGACGAGACTACTACAGTGCTTCTGACGTAGATTTTTTGCAATTGGGATGTCCTGGTGTGATTAAAAATGATGAAATTTCGATCTTTTCGACTAAAACTTGCAAGATGGAGACAATCAAAATCAAAAATGAACCACTTTTCAAAACCAGACGACACCCGATGTGACTACTGCTGCTATATTTGACTCATGAAATCAGCCGATATATTGCAATAATAGGCTGTGTTTAGATTTTGTGTTAAAATACAATGCAATAAATGTAATACAGTTAAACGTGCGCTATGTAATATTTCTGGTGGAGGGTATGTCACCTGCCTGAAATGTTAAGATTATCTTGCATTTTTACAACAACAGGAGATTTTATTGAGAAAAAAATATCTTTACAAAGACACATTCTTACTGTAAGTTGGGTCTCTTCTCTGCAGATCTGACCTTTAACTTGCCCTTCACCAGAAAAGTTACACAGTGCGTCTTTAAGCCACGCTTTTTGTTTCATCGCTGTTTTGGTAATTTTTATATTATCAAAAGAGTAGTCGTAGTAGAAGTTGTTGGCAAAATGCTGTTTTTAGCCAGTTAATCAATCATGTATCTTTGAATATACATTTTATAACACTAATCCTAGTTGACCACTCAATGTTTATTTCACAAACGCTTTAATAATTATAATAATGATACCTGAAAACCACTTCTGTCACTTCCGGGTCCAACCAGAAACAACACCGCTAATTTCAAGTTTTGTATTTATTTTTTATTCATCAAACAAAAAGCCATTACCATTCAAAAGCGTATATTTAATCACAAATTGTATCAAATGTGTAAATAGTGTAGTAATAATATCATAACATAGGATTATAAGTGTGTATATCTCACTAACTGCCGGTCATTGCTAACGCTAACTTAGCTTAGCCTAGCCTAGCCTAGCTTCTAACCTCAACCTCTTTCTTTCTGTCTTTCCGTCACATTGAGGGTGACCAGATGTTCCTATTTACCAGAGACAGCCCCAGTTTTGAGCCCTGTGTCCCCTGTCTCAGCAGATTTACTCAAAACTAGTGATTTGTCCCAGTTTTATACAAGAAATGTCCCAGGTGTCTCTATTTTTGACCAATAGACGCATCAAGAATTTCAGACTTCCGGTCACTGCGCAATTAATACTGGGAAGGATTTTCTGAAAAAGTGAGCATTAAACCAACATGTTTGATTTCACAGTGGGATGCGTCTATTGTCAAAGCCGATCTTTTCAAGTCTTTTGAACCATATCACTTTTGTTTCTGGTTCTGATATTGTCATATTTTAGTTTTGGGATTTGGTTGTCCTAACAGAGGCAAATGGCTCGAGAAATTTAGTTTGCGAACTTCATAGATGCAAAAGGGAATCAGGTCTGTATGACTGCAAACCTCCATTCAAACTGTTTCTCTTCCCAACGGAATTGAAAAAATTTTGCAGCGAACATTTTGTATGTGGAGCACCATCAAAGTAAAATCCCGTTTGTTAAGCGAGAGGTACAGAAGACAAACAGGCTGAGTTTGCACTTTCTTGTTCTTGTGGTTTTACAGCAACATCACGTCTCGGTCTCTTTGCAGTGGAAGGTGTTTCTTAGTGAACATTTGGTGCCTTTCACTTTGGTGTTGACTTTTTAAATTCGTAACCAAGGTTGAGCGAGGGATCAGGATTTTACTTTGATGGTGCTCCACATGTAAAATGTTCGCTGCAAACTGGGAATGATTTAGGCAGTCAAAGATTACCTTTTTGGTCCTTCCTGTGGATCAGTCCTGCCCATCGCCTTCGCCTTTCACTATTTTTCAATTCCGTTGGGAAGGGAAACAGTTTGAACAGAGGTTTGCAGTCACACAGATCTGATTCCCTTTTGCATTTATGAAGTTGACAAACAAATTTCTCGAGGTGTTTTCCGCTGTTAAGACATCCAACAACCAGACAATTAGGATGTCCGAATCCCAAAACTAAAATATGACAATATCAGAACCAGAAGCAAAAGCGATATGGTTCAAAAGACTTGAAAAGATCGGCTTTGTCAATAGTCGCATCCCACTGTGAAATCAAACATGGTGGTTTGATGCTCACTTTTTCGGGAAATCCTTCCCAGTATGCATTGCGCAGTGACGGGAACTCCGAGATTCTTGATGCGTCTATTTGATCTAAACCAGGGCTAATGCTGCTTTCTATTGATGTCAGTAGTCTATAAATCCGAGCCAGTTCTCCCGACATCCGTTGTAAATGCGTTCCATTGCAACAGTTGGGGAAAATGTGGATGCCAGAGAAGGTTTAATGTAACGTCAGGTATCGCTATCTCTGGCTAATAAATAATAAATACTGTCTGTCTGTTAGGTAACGTTAGCTGTCAGCGACTCAGTTATGGCAATTTGACGATTACATATTCAGAAAAAAACCTTCTGTCTATTGTCAGATGATGTGAAAGAAAGTCTAAATGTCACTACAGAGTTTTAAGAAGACACTTTCTCTACATATACACAACTTAACACATCAAAATGACGAAAAGACAGTTCTTCTCGTTTACTGCGTGCGCTGACATTGTGCGCTGTGACGTAAATCCCAACCAAATTAGCTGGAGTTTGTGTTTCAGAACCCCGATATGATTGCCAGTACCATTGCGTTTTACATTCTCGAGGTGGAGGTCGTTTTTACCCAAGTCTCGAGCGCAATAGAATGCAGCATAAAGTAAGATTAAACCAGGACTAAAACTGGACTATCCCAATTTTTGTCTAATCCATCGGTGGGCAAACTACGGACCGGGGACCATACGCGGCCCTTTAATCTTTTTAATCTGACCTGCTGAACTTGAATAATAATTTAATAATTTTCAGTGTTTTAAATGTCATTTCTATAAATAGTAAATACCATGGGACTTGAAAGACAGATATTTTGTTGTAATGCTTTGTAATGATGTTCAATTATGGGATGTTTCAATGAGATGAGATATGTTTTTTACATATCACATGTTATTTTTTTCTCTCATGAGGTGGATTACCAAAAAAAATTCCATCCATCTGCTCCTGGTCTGGCCCTTCTGTCAAATTTTAGAACCCACGTGCCGAAAAGTTTGCCCACCCCTGGTCTAATCTGATCCCCACCAACACTAAAGAGGAGCATACATTGTCATTTGTTTAGCCAAAAAACAGAAAACCGTGTTCGCAGTGACCATAAAGCAAAAAAAATACAGCAACAGAAGTCCCTCAGATTATGATTGACACAAGAATCCACAATGTTATACGCTCTTTTCACAGTTTTATTTATACCAAACATCGCAATTCGGGTGTGTCCCAGTTTAGAGTTTTGAAAATCTGGTCCCCCTATAGTCACACTTATATTCTTATTTTCTTTAAACGACTGCAATCCCGTTAATATGAGATGTCCTGCTTAAAAAAAACACAAACAGAAATTGTAAACATGTCCTTCATTTTCAATCATCTTGGACTTGGAAGTGACGTCACATTTAACAATCCTACGGCAGAACCAGTTTGTCAACGCTAAACCACTAATTTAATTTCCATCGCCATAGCGATAAAAACACAACTATTTTGTACATCCACTAGATTTCACATTCCTTTAAGTTTGAGTGTAATATTTGTGGTCAACCAATCGATGTTTAGTCTGTAACAAAAGCAAAGAAAACCACAGTGAAGTTCATGTTTAAAAGCCATTCCCTGCTTTGACAAAAATACATTCACTCACTGTATCTCTGACATCTGCAAAATGTAAAACTTAAAGGCTCACTGCGTAACT